ATTCCTGTGATTTTGCTCCTGCTGCTTATGTGAAGTAATACTTAGACTAGGGGACTTCCTAACTGAGAAGGTAGCAGATGTCAGCGTTCAGATCATGATCTTCTGAGGTAGACATTACCATCGCTGTGGTTAAGCTATTAATTAGACAGTTCTTAAATAAGACAACGTTCACTAGTAAATCTGGGAGTGAACTGTGAAATCACAATGATTTACTATGAATTGGATAATCTGAATGGGCAAAACCTGGCAATTTTCTTTGTGTTTCTGGTAGAAGGTAGAAGAGTTTCGTAGGCTAAAGATTTGGGGTTTTCAAGGTCTGAAGACTTGGAGCCCTTTGATTTTCTCAGCACATGAAGTGTGAAATTCTCATCCTCAGTCAACTAACATGACACTTCAGTGTTTTTCTCCTAGTGTTTCATAATCAACAGCCAAAATACATCTTCTTTTTCCTTTCAGATTATTTTAATAAACAAATAGATCAAAGTATGAAGGTTATTGTGCATTTTTGTTTGTTTATCTGTTTATAATAGGGATGAATTTAATCTGAAGCTGGCTCTTCTAAGTACTCAATGGCAAGGAGTAATTCGCCGGATACAGCAGAGAAGGGGTATTATTGACAGCCAGATTCATCAGTGGCAACGCTATAGGGAGATGGTAGAGAAGCTGCGCAAGTGGCTGGTGGAAATATCCTGTCAGCCAGTGAGTGGTCTGGAAAACGTTCCTATCCCGCTGCAGCAAGCCAGAGGACTGCTGGACGAAGTGCAGGTATGTCCAGTGTGTTTGAAGAAAGAGAAAGAAATCCTTGCCTTTCTTACTGTCTTCATCACTTAAAACATTCTTTAAAACATATTAGATTCAGACTGTCTGCTTTGCAGAAAGCAATATCGAATGTTAGTTCTTTGGAACTGGCATAGCCTCAGAAGCAGCAGTGCAATGGAAACAAAGTTGGAGTTCATAAAGAACAAATAATGGAGAACTTACTGGGTCCTCTCTCTTGAGTCTTGTTTGCTTCTGGTTTTCTCTGTAGCTAATATCCCTCTGAAACTTTTGTGAAAAAAACAGTCATGTCCTGTTTGAGGAATATATTCTCGCTAATAAAAAAGGATACCTTGAGTGTCTGTTTCATGTGAGGTTAACAGTATCTATTTAGCAACTTGGTGTCTTCAAAAATAATAAAGCTTATAAGCATAATGGACTCTAGAGGCACTATTTTTCTTTAAGAGCAATTGAGATACTGATCTTAATGGGGAGAAAGAAGTCTTTCGTGTCTTTATCTCCCTGGAGAAATTTTCTAAAGGTCTGCTGCAGTAAATGGTTGTCAAAATTTTAGGGTAAAGCATTTGGGCAGTAGCTCATGCTTAAATCAAGGTATGCAATTAATTAAAATATAGACTTGAAGAATAAATTATATTGATTTGCTAACTGTAATTAAAAAGACAAGTCTGACAGAAAACTCAATAATTTCAGCTTAGAGAGAAAGTTCTTCTAAGGCAGCAAGGGAGTTATATCCTCACTGTGGAAGCTGGGAAGCAACTGCTGCTCTCCGCTGACAGTGAATCTGAGGCAGCCCTGCAAGCAGAGCTTACCGAAATTCAAGAGCGCTGGAAGATAGCTAGCACCCGCCTGGAGCAACAAAAGAAACGGCTTACTTTGCTACTGAAGGTAAGTGTGGGGTTACTTCTGTACTTTTACAGCAAGTTCAGGGTGTCTCACTGTGAATACTTCTAAAGAGAAGTGTCCTCAGGGGATAAGCACGAATACAGGAATTGCACATACACTACATGAGCTCATGATTTCATTTCACTACCTCTGAAATTAGGAGTTTCAGAGATAATGCTAGGTAATGCTTCACAGTAGGCTTGTAGGTTAGTTGGTATCTTTTAACTGGGATTTCCTGAACACTGCCAGTAAAGGATATTCCAACCAGTCCTATTTTCAACATAGAGCAAAAATGTACTTGATTTTGCGCAATGCTAATTAATTTTTATGCACACTGTATTGAAAATTAGACCTGCCTTATTCCCTCTACATGCCAGTATCAAGATCTGTCTAGCAATGTAGTAGTCTCTGTTTCTTTCCAGTGTCTTGAGTATTTGCTAGTTCAGATAAACTACTGTGATCTTGGAGAAGGGAGCTTTGAACTTGATTTTCATGTAAGCAATGTCCAGAATGCCTGCCAACTTTACTTCAAGTAGTGAAGATGATAGGCTGGAATTTAAATTTGCTCTGTTTCTTTTTCCGTTTTACTCATTCTATGGAGGACTGGTGTGTGCTAGTAGAATACAAGTGCTTTTAGAATAGTTTCAGAGGTCTGACAGAATTACAGATACTTTAGTGTTGTTTTGAAATAGCAACAAGCAAAGCAGTGTGAGACAACGAAATATTATTTTGGAAACATTCCAATAAGTAAATTTTCATTCTTCTTTCGAGCCTTGCTCCTCGTACTTCAGCTGCAGGTTAGGGAATTAAGTGAGGAAATTTTAGTCATGAAAACTGTTACCTAGAGAGACCAAAGGTTCTGTGGTATTTTGTCTCAATGAAAATATGGAACTTAGTGCTTGAAGATGAAGAAGTAGGGAAATTACCATGGAAATTGCATAAATTGTCTCATAGATATTAAGTCTTCATTACGTTACGCTATCTTGATCTTAAATACATGACTTTTTAGTAGTCTTCTTACCAAGTGGGAAATACAAGTATATATTCTAGACGACTATGTGTTGCATTGAGAATATCACAGACAATTGTCATATAAGGTCATATTACCATGGTACGGTTTGACTGTATTGGACAAACTTAAATTTTTGAAAAGTACACAGACACTAAAGCTGAATAAAGGAAGTGGAGGGAACCTTTTCTGAAAGGATGGGGTTGGATCTAGACAACAGTGTAGTAACAGGAGGCCTTGACTTGTGTATTTCTACTTAGAGAGACCTACACACAAAAAAATTGACACAGTTGTTCCTATAACTCAAGTTCTGAGACTACGAGTAGTATTTAGAGTGGTATTTCAGGGCATGCTATTATTATGAAAGAGTTCTCACTGTTTAGTGGTTAGTTAGGCAAATCAACTGACATAAGTGTAATCCAGATCTAAATTGAAGTCTAATAAACATTCTGCCTTCAGGACTGGGAAAAATCTGAGAAGGGCATAGGAGATTCCCTGGAGAAGCTAAGATCATTTAAAAAAAAGCTTTCTCAGCCTTTGCCGGAACACCATGATGAGTTGCATGCAGAGCAGATTCGTTGCAAGGTAAAGCACTTGTTCTCTGTTGACTATTGCCTCATCTTTGCCTGCCTTTGGGCAGTAACCTCTTCCAGTGTTAATAGGCTTCACGTTATTGACTGTGCAAACCAGTCAGCCAGCCCTGTGACAAGGAGCTATCAACGTGACGTTTGCCCAGCATAATACTTGAGTGATCTCACTATAATGCAAATCCTGCAGGGTGAATATAGAGCTCATCAAAGTGAGATCTGAACTGAGTCTGAAAAGTACTGCAGAAACACAAGATACCAGTGTGTTTTTATTGTAGAAATTCTAACTTCAAATTTAAACTAAACTTGGTTTAGTGTTTTTTTATTCTAGGCAAGATTACTGTAGGTGATCTAAGATAACACTTTTATGCTATAAATAAACTTTTTATGCTTAAAAATATTTTCAATACTGACAAGTCCAAACCAGTAGTTGGAACTGTCAAATACCTTTGAACTTTAGAGAGATTTGAGTAGTATATTAGTTCGTGACTGCTTTTTGCAAGGCTGACATACCATTCTCTATTGGGGAGTTGCCTCTCTCATAACCTTGAAAATATTGGCATATGTGGAGTTGGTGTTTATCTTTTAAGCAGAGCTGAAACAGTCTGGTTGAAATGGTGAGTCCGCTCAGATGCTAGGATAACAATGCTTGTTTTCGTGCTTCAACCCATTCGAATTTTCATTAGTTAGCAAACTGGTCCTTTTCCCTTGTGCGCTTCTTTTAAGGAGTTAGAGAACGCCATTGAAGGGTGGACAGATGACCTTGCACACCTCTCTCTGCTGAAGGAGACCCTGTCTGTGTACATCAGCGCAGATGATATCTCCATCCTCAGTGAGCGCATCGAGCTTCTGCACAGACAGTGGGAGGAGCTGTGCCACCAGGCAAGTACAGTACCAAGCCCTTTCGTGGGTATGCAGCCTGCAAAAGTGTTGGGAGAAAAAACGAATGCACGCAGCAGCTTTTACAAAAGATGCGTGTAGGCATGCTCAGATTCAGCCTGAAGGTCTTGCTCAGTTAGGGAAGACATCTTGTTGAAATCCTGCCTTTAAATACTGATAGTGTTTCTAGATCTCTCAAGCTTTGTTATGGCTGTGAAGTCATATTTAAGCAGCCTTGAAAAAACCAACAAAATTGTCAGGCTGTGGGACTGTGGCATGGCTGACTGGGGAAAGCACAGAAGTAAGACAGTTTACTGTGCTTTGGTGGAGGAGCTGTGCTTGGGAAGGGTGTCCCCTCCCCCCTCAACATTAGTGTATTGTACCTTCAGTTCTGCTGATAGCTTCTACTCCTTCAGACATTGGTGTCTGCATTCCTCTTAGTCTGAGGATGGCTTGATAGGCTGCAAGATGAGTTGAAGAGTTATTGTTTAATCTTTCAGATGCAACATGCTATTAGTGTGTTTCTTGTGTCCCTTTTGCCTTTAGAAGCTCAAGTAGCAGAGTCTCTCTCATCCACCTTTTCATAGAATCATAGAATGTTAGGTGATTATCTTAATGTTGTTTCTGTGGTTCAGTAGAGATGGCAGTTCGGGTATACTGGGGCTAACTTTGAAATAGTTACCTCAGGTAAGGTACTGTGAAGGCTTCAAAAACATCCCCAAAGCAGGAGGAATGCCTCACAGTTAACAGTCCAGAACTTGTTATGAGTTAGTTGCTTTTGAATCAACCGATGTAGATACATATAAACGATGGTATAGTCACTGCATGTATATTTAAGGTAAAGGAGGGAGCCGAGTAAAGAAGTTTTATCTTAGTTTTGTGTGTACTGAGTGTTTCAGGATGTAACCTAGTGGAACACTTTTTTCAACTGTTGCTTATTTCTGGAAAGCTGCCATCAAGTTTAGAACCACAAAAAGGAAATGTGAGATCACACGTATGCCCCTGTTAAACCTAACACGGTAGTTAAAAAGCACATCACTTCTGTTTATGAAAGAACAGATGCAGTCTTCATCTTGTCAGCTGCAAGGCTGATGCAAAGTCAGAAACAGTGCAGATTACGATGGGGAGGAAGTAAGTAGTTGTACAAATGTCTGAAACTGGAGAGGTGTTTATGCTGCTCACACTGCTGCTATTTTCAGTTTCAGTGTCCATCTTTGTCTCTTCTTCATGGTCTGAGATGCTACCCTGCTATAGCAATTTCTTGTACATAGCAATGTTTTCTTTCTTCCTGTATTAACTATGGCATTTGCCTGTTAGATGTGTTATGCCTGTTCTTTCCTCTCAGGGCACACCTCTCAGTCCTTCGGAATCTGTCAGAGTGTCATGCCCATACAGGAGAAATAGTCGTCTATGAAATGAGTGTGCTGGGACTCAAGCAGAGAAATGCTTATGCAAAATATAGCATATCTTTGATTTAAGTCAAGCATTTATATCTTCCTTCTTTATTTAATATCTTAGACTAAAAAGAAAGTATACTTTATAAGATTTCATGAGTGAGCACAAAATTGTAAGAAAATTTATTTTGTGTCTTCTAATGAAACTTTTGGATTAGAGACTTAAAACAAGATATTGACAGGCTACTGAGCGTAACGCTTGGCTGCCTCTCACTATGCATAGGATGTAGCTAACAGGAAACCCAAGATTAACACTTACCTCTAAAGTCAGAGAGTCACACAAAGAATTTGCAGTAAAACTCCAGTTTGTTTTAACGGCAAGAAAGTGGCTGGAACGCTTTTGCAGGGCCAAAGGAGTTCACACTGAGGCATAAAGTGTTTCAAGCATCTCTTAAATGCATTTACCATTTTGTTTTTACTTACTCACTGCAAATGTTTTCAGGTCTCCTTACGTCGACAACAAGTTAGTGAGAGGCTGAATGAGTGGGCTGTCTTCAGTGAGAAGAACAAGGAGCTTTGTGAGTGGCTGACACAAATGGAAAGTAAGGTTTCTCAAAATGGCGACATCCTCATAGAAGAAATGATTGAGAAACTTAAAAAGGTAATAGTGCAGTGGATGTACACTTACATACTGTTCTTTAACTGCTTATTTTTTTTGTGTTGCAAAGATAATAGTGAATTAGCTGAAATGGAGATTTTACCTTACACTGATGTTTTTAAGTTCCAGTAAGACTGTGTTTGTGTTATTCTCTCACTACACAGCATTTCCTTGAGGATATCAGAAAGTTAAGTGAATGTAAAGTCAGAGATGTCTGAATGCTTTACTAAGTGTCCAATCGGAATTGTTTGTGATGGGTTTAACTATAGCAGATTTATTTATAGAAAGCATCATGTGTTGTTAGTTGTGGTTTTTTTCATTCTTCTGACAAAGCTGTTCATGTTTATACATCTAATAGTTAAGAGGTTGTCTCTCCACTCTACCAATCACCAAAAAAATAACAATCACTTGTATTTTTGTTTGATTCTTTTAGTAGTGTAGAACAGAGTGTATTCAGAGTAAGTACCCTCACTTCTGGTTGCTCTTTATTGTCCAGGATTACCAAGAGGAAATTTCTGTAGCCCAGAACAACAAAATACAACTCCAGCAAATGGGAGAGCGACTTGCTAAAGCCAGCCATGAGAGTAAGGCATCCGAGATTGAGTACAAGCTTGGCAAGATCAGTGACAGGTGGCAACATCTTCTAGATCTTATTGCAGCCAGGTAAAGTGCTACAAGGGACAGATTAATATACAGGATGTCATGAATTTAAAATATTTTTTATTGTCTGCCTTTTCATCATTCATTGTGAAATGAGTTTATTCCTTAACTATCAATGCATTTCTGTGAAAATCACTTTAGTAGTTTACTTTTCAGTACCTGACATTTCTCCAAGAGTCAATTCAAAACAGTATTTGCTAGAACAACACAGGATCACTTGCGGTCAGATTTAGTGAGCCTTGCTCCAGTACTATCTTATTTCAGATGAGTGCTTAAAACTGGGTCCAAAAAGTTCTTGTTAGAGGGATGAAAACAGTGCATTTGTAGTTTTGAATTTCAAGTAGAGCAGTTTCAGAACTAAATCTTAGGAGTTTTGCCTGATTATTTTTTCACTGATGGAGAAGAGTAACTGTGGGTAGACATATGAACATTGGGCTTAAAGATTCTTTCTAGTCAAGATCAAAAATATAACAGCCATTTTCATAACTTAAGGAAATAAGCGATTGTTGTTTGATATGTGAAGAAACAGGTTTACTTGGTTCAATACTTTCTGTTGAGTAGTATGTTGAGCATGCTACAACCACCCTCCCATTACCAACAATAAATTTGCCACAGTTTTGTACTTCATAAAGTGTGCATATACTTTACATTTCTGTGATGTAAGCACATATGAATTACTAATACTTAAGTCCTTTTAGCAGCAAAGAAGTTTGTTTAGTTTTGTTGTCTTTTTTTCATCTGTACCTTTTTTCTTATGATTCCTGCTCTGGAATCTGTAAGCGTGGAAGCAAGTAAATTTGGCATAAGTAGGAGCATTCTGGTGGCTCCAGCTCCTTCTATAGTGATCAATTTTAAAGTAACGAACACTGTATATTTCTTGCAGAACAATTAAGTAAGGAAGTGGTGCATTATGGTTGAGGAGACTGATGTTTTCAAAGCCTGTGATACATCACCAGTTGCTGAACAAAAAGTATATTTGCCATATTTTTGTGTTTGTCTTCTGAAACACCAACTCGGAAAAATGGTGAAATAACACCTTCAGGGGGTTTCTAGTCAAACATGATAACATGAGACTGAATGGTGACAAGAACTGCAAAATACATCCTCAAAAGATCTGTGTTGTCTGTTCAGTATTAGAGGTTGGTGTCCCCTATAGGGACAGGTAAGGGTTTAGGCTTCTGTGGTGTTCTTGGGGTGGGGCGATATAAACTGCAATATTGTACATTTAAACCTTCTCATTCTGTTATCATGTGCAGTCCTAGTTTTGAACTAATTTATGTAAAATATTTATTTGCTTTTATTTCCAGATCACTTCACTTACCCTTCTCAATTAGCATGCTCAGCATTATTGTATGCAATTAAACGTATAACCCTTTCCATTCCAGTGCTTACTGAAATGAAAAAGACCTCCACAAAGTATGAATGTTGCATTGCTGATCTTTGGAAGTAAATGGAGAGGTCTGATGCTAGGTTGTGGAAATTTTGCTAGTTCAGCTGTAGCTTAGGCTGGTAGCAATTAAAGCCCAAGTCATTGGCTAATGTGTGTACAAAGTACTTGTATTGATGTCTAATTCCCTCTGGGCGTTTGCATTCCCAAAGATAATTTTTAGAAGGCTTCAGAGGCTCTTTAGCATATGATAATATATATTGGCATGTGTTCCTGATAGGATATTTTGCATTTTGGAATGTATCATATAACATGATTTTGGCTGCATGCAGCTTGGAAATGCAGATTAATTGTTCTGATGTTGAGAATAAAATAATCCCTGGCAGAATTAATAAATTATTAGAGCCTGCATGCTTTTCTGTAAACGTACAGTCATCCCTTGCCTGGAGCATTTTTCTTAGTGTTTTGTTTCTTAAAACTGTGAATGAATAGAAAGTGCTTTATGAAAATGCTTTAGTAGCATAGTATGGAAATATGTGGCCAGCATAAATCCTTCACCTGTTGATTTTATGCTGGGCGGTGGAACTTCTCCATTCACCTGTAAAAACCCCTTTCTCACATTCTGTTCTGTTTTTTTTTAAATTGTTTCTGCATTCTGAGGAGATTTATAACTGCAGACAAGATAGCTACAGAAAGGTAGCCATGTCTCTGTATAAGAGGCTTCTGCTTCTGGCCTTCTAGAACATTTTCATCCTTTGAGATGAATTTTTCTGATATGTCAGCCCTCTGCAGGAAGCAGTGCTATTGCTGCAACTGCTCAGGCTTTGTGCAGAAGTCTTTACTGTATGTGTTTTCACCCCTTCCCCTAGCACTCATGGTCCACATTCCTGGAGATCAAGGCTGGCACATGTTGATGAATGCAGGTTTTATTTAGAAACATGACCACTTGTCACCATTCAGTCTCATGTTATCAGGCAACGGCTGCTAGCATTTGTTTGGCATGCAACGTTTTCTGTACAGTACTCACCAGCAAAGAGAAGTGTGTCCAATTTCCTCCCCCCGCCCAAAGCACAGCGTTTGCAGGCTTTTGGAGTGGAAGTTCTTCTTTTTAATTCTGGAAAATTTCATGGTGGTGGCAGAGGACTTGCGTGCTGTGAGGATGGCGGAGGACGGCAGTGTGGATTCAGATCTCCCAGACTGTAATTGTGATATCACAAGGCAGGCAGCTATTTTTGTTTGCTTTTGGTTGATACGGTTCTTACTGAAGTCTTGGCTTGCTGGGAATCTAATTGAAATACTGATATTTAGAAATCGCTACCTTAGCTAGAAATTACTGGTTTTTTGCAGTTTCCAGAAATAGTTGACAGTGATAATGACTTACTTTCTTTTGCAACTAATACTTTTGGATCCCAGAATATTTTTTTTTGTTACTAATATGGACTTAGAACTAGTAAAATCCCTTAGGTGTCTGAAAGAAACTGTAGGCTGTTTTTACTGCTGTTTTTAAATACAAGAGCATGTACACACATGAAGGAAAGCAGACTTTGTATTTGTCTGCTCACTGTTTGTGTCATCAAAGGGGCATGGCTACAAGCTAGAGGCAGAGAAGGACAGAGGCTGTAAAGCAGGGATTTCAGATTTAATGAAGCTGGTCTGTCCTCACATATCAGTGACTGTTTCATCACTGCATGTAATAATTGAAATCAGCCTATATCATCTTGGATTTTTGATTCAGCTTCTCTTTTTCTCTCTTCACTTTATCTTCTCTAGATTTTTTTGCTATTGTTCAGTGTTGTAGAAATTTACTCTTTGAAACAGGAAACTGTGATCTGAAGAGCAAATACAACTGGCAGTACCAGTGTCCTAGTACGCAGCAGTACTGTTCTTTGGACAACAAATAAAAGATTATTTTTTAAATGATTTTTAAAAAATTATTTTAATAGTGTAATATTTTCCACTATTTCCTAGAGTGTTTCTTGAAACTTGGAACTATGGTTCCAAGTCTATTTCTTTTTTTTAAAAAGAAATCTGCTCATTACTGGCTTTCTACAGGCTTAGCTAACAGGCTCGTACTGATTTTTTTCATGTTGCTGTTATAATATTAGTAACCAGCTGTCTAAATGACTAACACAGTCACTATGAGTTCTATATGATGTACTGTTATGTATTTACAAGGTTCTTCCTGTTTAGGTTTAAGTGGAATCTAAGGCTAATTTAGGACTAGTTGATTTAAGGGTATTTGTGCTTTATTTCAGCTCCAAGTTGTTCTCCCGCTGCCTTTTCTTAATGTAAAATAGACGTTTTGTAGTTACTACTTTCTTGTGATAACCAAGGTACAGTCATTGGAACGCAGGAATGTAAGCATCGTAAGCACATTCAAATTTCCAGATGATTTTTCATCAGTAAACTGTAAAAACAATCAGTTGAATTCTGCAGTATTTTCCTTTCTGAGGGTCTTAACTTGTAGCAAGACTGATGTGTGTGCGTGTACAGCCTTTAAAAGAACTATGTCATGGGTCCAACAATTTGGTTTCAATGCAGAAATTTTCATTACCAAGGAGAGGAGTTATCTCAAGTCTCTTGCAGTAGCATGTATAGTGCAGCAACAAAAACATGAGACGAGTATTGGAATAATTAGCCATTTAAACATAATCTTGTAAATGACAACTCAAAAGGTCAAAATTACAGTTAGCTAGGGATTCCACATACTTGAATGTTTATAATTTCACCTTTGTCTCTAAACTGGGCTTTTAATTTCATGAGATTTCAGGCCTCACCATTAGCGTGGAGAGATTGGATTTTGAGTAGTTACATTTTTAAGAGAGATTTTTGTTGCACACATATTATCTATTTATTTATACACAGGCACGGTATTCAGTGAGATGAAGAGCATAGGCATCTTGCCTGCTAAAATTCCGAAGGAAAACTAGACACAATGGATTACATCTATTATTTCTTCACAGCTATGTTTTCAGAGTAGCTAGGGGCAAAACACTTTATATAGCAATTCAGTCAAAAAAGTGACCTCAGTGTATTCCAAGAAGCACTTGTTTATTTGTTTCTATTTGTGCCATAGGCAAGGAGCCTGTTATGTTAGACTCAGTACAAAAAAAAAAGAACAGTGTTAACAGTAAATGTAGCAGCATACAGGAAGGGAGTTGTCCTTTTTTTTGTTCTTTTTTTTTAACTTCTGAAATTTAGGTGCGGGGAATTGCAGCCATTTGACAGGAGGGCAGGTTTAGCGTTAGGTTTTGTATTTGATTGGAGTGTTCTTTTAGTATGTCATGCTTTTTTTTTTCCTTTTTATCTACTGAGTAACTTAGGTCATGTGACTTAAAATAGCTCTATGTGGGCTGGTGTTGTTTTTTGCTCGGGGGAAGTTGTATTCCCATGCAGTCTACTTGACACAAAAAGGGCACTTTCTGAGTGATGGGCCCTTTAGCAGGTGTTGCAGGCAAAATATAAATAAAATCCAGCACAGAGGTTGGGATACCGTAGAGTTGCAAATAAGAAAAGCCTGGATCACTGCTTGAGCTTGCCAATGATAGAGTGACTTTGCTTCTACACAGAGCTGACATGACTCGTTGTTCCCTTTCTCATTCCAACATGTCTGCAAAGGATCAGAGGCACCCAGCCTTTAAAATGTATGCAGAAAATGGGCAGGATTTCACTCAGTTAATGTCAGTTAATGTGAGTTCCAGAGATTGATAACCAACCTTCTCGCTCCCCTCATGAGCACATTTCAATTGGTCCAGGCCCACAAGGCACCGTTATGTACAGCCATAGGTGCAGAGGAGATGGTACTCCCAGAGATTGGTTGTTCTTCTAGTATCTCTTCAAGTCTAAACATACAGCTGTTTCGGGATAAGTTGATCATAGACACTGGGCAGTCTTTCAGCTCTGTTTTGTTGACTTCAGTTTCTTCATAGCCAGTTTTTCGGATTACACAGATTTATTTTTTTTTCAGTTGCCAGGGTATTTTTTTCAGAACCCTGCAGCTGTTGATCATGAGGCTCTGGCAAAGAAGATGCATTTGAACTGTTCTTAAGCATATGTTTGGTGCTAAAGAGGCGCAGTTTGACCATCTGTGATCTAGACAGAGGGCTAGAAAGAAACAAAGATTTGAGAGATTTAAGTTTCATAAGTTAACACTAAGATCAGTGCATTTCTGTTTGGTAAGAAAAGGACATCCATGTTAGACTCTTAATGGTCAGCTGCAACTACTGCTTTAGATATGGAAACACTTAATAAATTAGCTTGTTAGTATTATGGAAAAAAAATTTAATTGCGCTGTTTGGATTTTAGGATAATCAGGTGGCATTTTGTTTATTTGGTGAATCTGGCAATCTTGTATTTTTCAACCCAATTTAGTCAGTCTATTCCCAGCTGCACTCATCTCTTAAAGCTTTCTCATATTGAATCACTTAAGTGGAAGAGCAATAGAAGCATAAAAGAGAATGTTACTCAAAATTGTTTGTGGTACTACATAAACAGAAAGAAAAAACCAAAGCTTAGAAACAGTTTCAGAATCCACTAATGTATGTTATGTAACTTGGAGATAGGAAGGATGGAATTACCAGCAGACATTTTTGCAGTTGAAACAGGATGAAGGAAAAAATATCAAGATAGCATGAAGATTTAGTCAAATTTTCATCACTCTCTAAGCTTAATGTTCCCTTGAATAAAAACAAAAAAAACAAGCGACTATTTAATTTTTCCTGGCCATTGTTGTTGCAGGGTCAGGATCTCAGGAAGAATACTACTTAGAAATCACTGTGCAGTTACACTACAGTTTCATCTGTTTAAATGTGAAGTAGTCCATCAAGACAAAGAACAACTTAAGGCAGCCCTTGGGATTCTGAAATTCCCACTAAGTTCTAAGCTGGATTTCTCTCTCTAGAACTTATTTATTCAAGGACAAGTCTTCACACTGGAACAGGTTGCCCAGAGAGGTCATAGATGCCGTGTCCCTGGAAATATTCAAGGTCAGGCTGGATGTGGCTGTGAGCAACCTGATCTAGTTGCAGATGTCCCTGCTCACTGCAGGGGAGTTTGGACTAGATGATCCTTAAAGGTACCTTCCAACCCAAACCATTCCATGATGTGTTCATTCAGTGCACTCCACCACCAGCACTATTTAAATGGAGAAATTATTTGTAGTCTAAGAAGAACTTTTGTCATCTGTTGGTCAAGTACACAACTAAATTACTTAGATGCTTTAGGGGTTTTGGGGTGTGTTTTTCTTTCTTAACAAGTATTTAACTCATCTGAAAAAGGTACAGAAGTTTTGAAAATGTTGTCTGATATTAGTAAGCTTTTGATTTTTCTTAACCAGAAACTACGAACTCAGGACTGTTTGCACATGTAATATACTTTGATTATATAATAAAGGAAGACTTCAGAACAGATCTTCTCAACTAAGTTAAGCTTCTCTGAAAACTTCCTGAAACACATACTTTGGAAAATCTCCTTCAGGTTGTACTTATGCAACTGTTTCTTTTTCTTTACAGGGTAAAGAAGTTGAAGGAGACCCTCGTTGCAGTGCAGCAGCTGGATAAAAACATGAGCAGCCTGAGATCTTGGCTTGCACACATTGAGTCAGAGTTGTCTAAACCTATCGTCTATGAAACTTGTGACTCAGAGGAAATACAAAGGAAGCTAAATGAACAACAGGTAAAATACTACACACTTACTGGGTGCACAGTGACATGGGAAGAACCAAATTTAGTGTCTATGGGCTTGCCCATACCTGACTAAGTGCTGAGAGGGCATGAGGCAAAGAAGTGTTTAAATACCAAGGCAAGTGGTACTTACTGTGTCACTTATAGAGCCTTCTGCTGGCTTTGACATCGAATCCACCAGGACCTGATTGACGTTTCTGAGAAAGGTAAGGCACCAAGAGATGTAACCTGAACGAGTTATTGCAATAGTTTTCTCTTTGGGGTTTGTGGTTTTTGTTTGTTTGAATTGTCTGTTCCCAGAAGTGAAACTGACACCTATTAGACTCTGCAAATTTTGCACATGCTTGAAAATGACTATTTTTTGCAACCATTCTAACTTGGTTTTATTTTACAGCTTGTTTGGGAATCACTTTGCATGCAGATATGCATGAGCTATACATATGAAGTTAAAACTGGTTGGTTTGTTAGCACACAAAGCCTTTATGCAGTGCTAGAAAAAAAATAGTCAACATAGAAAACTCTTAAGTCAGTTTGTGGCATTAAAACTAATGTTACTTCTAAGAAGTTTTAATGTACTTTCTCTTTCCTGTTCCACTTCACTGTCCAGTGCAGTTTTACCTAGAAGCACATCTCTGAGGAGGACTGTTGTTCTGTTTTGTTCCTGTTCATTATTTATTAGCAAAAATACCTTTCTGGTGCCTCACTAGAGATGACTTAGATACTCTCCTGAGTTCTTTCTCTAGAGGAGAAAGATAATTCATTTATGAAGTGTACGAACTGGCATTTTGCTCTTCTAAGCCAAGTGTGAGACCCAAGAACACCCAGAAAGTTTTTACTGGCTCCCCAGCTGATTGGCTCTATAGCTGCGCAGAATTTCTTATTAATATTCTATATGTCATTTACATGGGGATAATAATTTGTTACATACAAGTGTTGCTAACGAGTGGTGTTTCTAAGACAATAATGTGCTGGGCAGGGCTAAACATTGCTATCAACAAAGTAGATACTTTAGATTACTTTACTAGCATCCTTGTACAGATGTCCCACAGTATGTTACAACCACTTCTTATGGGACTTTCTCTGGGCACACACCCTGCTGTATCTCTGCCTTCTGTTTACTTGTGGTGATCCCCTCGCAGAGACAGTGTGCGGTGATACTTGTAGAAGTGTGAGTGGCTCGACTGGAACTCCAAAGAGGAGAGATAGATGTGAACCTTATCCTGGGATGATTCCATGTTTGTAAACTTGATGGTGATTTGATCTGATAACACTGCAAGCCTTGGTTATAATAATATTTTTTTTAAAAACACCCACCCTCAATGTATGGCAACTGGTATTTTTATTAGTTGGAGGCTATATCCACCACATCTCAGTAGGCTAGTACATTGGCTATCTTTTCAGGTATTTAATCCATCTTCCTCTCTTAATGACCTGATGTTTTTCTATGTTTGATCTTCCACTGAGTTCATGTTATCTTACCTGCTCATACTGCTACTGGTTGTTCATATAGAGATTCATGCTAGAAGTATTACGCTGTGAAAAAGAAGGGACAAATTCCATTTCTGTAACTCAGTTGTCTAGTTCTCAGCATCTCTTTCAGCCAAGAATCAGCTTTGCAGATGACTTTTCTCTGTAGTGAAATTAGAGATAGCCTGGTGGAGGTAGCATAACTTCACTGTAATATTTTCCTAGAGTTGCAAACTACATTACAAGGATTAGTTGTTCGATTATTTTCTCAATTTGCTACCACTTGAAATGTGGAAAAAATAGTGTTTGCTTCTGGGTTGATAAAGGGAAAAAAAAAGCTGTATGTTGGTAACAGCAGTGCATAAAAGTGATGCTGCTTTGTGAACTAACCCAAAGGCTAAATCAAGACCAGCAACTGGCAGTTCTCACTGCTGCTCTACTCAAAACAGCAGAGAAGAGATTGCATTACCTGAACTTGCTTAACCTCAAGGCTCATAGCTGCCTGGAGTGTGTGCTTCATAGAGCGTTGCATCTGTTTATAGTATCCACCCTTGTGTAACATTTCAGGATGGATAGAAAGAAGAATAAGCACTTGGACATCACGATGAGAATATTTTCCGGACAAGTGAAAATGAAAGGGCCAGCGCTGAGGAAGAAAACTTTGTGATTTTCCACTTGATGGTCTCATGTGTATGTTTACAAAATAGCCTTCTGTTTCATAGATGAGAAGAGGAAATAGATTACTTCTCTGAGTCCAACTCCAGTTATCATGAGCAACCAAATCAGATAGGTGATACAAGCTGGTTTTAGATTCTGCATTAGATCTCATTTCCTGCTGGAGGGTATTTTCAGAATGTCATATTGCAAGTTGTAAGAAAATTTCCTCTAGTTGGACCTTTAATGTATGTAGACACAGTAGGTTGACGCTGTATTTCCCTTTGACTTCACTAGCGAAATTGTAAAGATCAGTTTATCTCTACTCATCCTAAAGCTGCCAAGTTCCTGTTCTTCTAAATTAACTTCCACAACTCTCATTGTTCTATTAGCAGAAGAAATAGTACTGATCACATATAAGTGCTAAGACTGTGTAAGTGCATTTTCTTTAGCTGTCCTAAATTTTCCTGTTCCATTTCCAATGAGAATGCTACAAAATTGAAAAGTTAAAGGAAAAAAACTTTGTACTAGAGGTGCACTGTTCAACAGGTACTGCTGCCAATCTCCATGTCAAACATACCACTTTTCAGCTAGCTCACCTGGGGAAGAGAAGGTTCACAAAGGGTACCTACACCAAATCCTTGCAGTAGATAAGAACGTATTTTCTTGTCGTACTTCTCTTACTAATTTCTGCTTTGCATTCTCTGCAGTAGTGGGAAAGGACTGGGAATAATACCACCATTTACTGGTGATGCTGTTTAAATGTATGTGAAGGATGCTCAACTGAGCATGCAGAGCTCTGGCCGTTTGTCCCATGTGGTGGTTTGGTACTCGTAGTGCCTGGAAAAGAATCCTGCTGGATTCTCCTGGCCTCATTGATAGCATTGCAGCAGCACTTGCACAGATGCAGTATCTTAGTCAGTATTCACAGAATCACAGAATTGTTGAGGTTGGAAAAAACCTCTGAGATCATCAAGTCCAGCCTTAATCAGTATTCACTGGATGTTTTTCTCCTGTTTGCAAACTACTTTTTTTTTTTTAAATAAGAAGAGGAATGCATTTGTATTTATGCAAGATTTGCAGTTTCTCTTAAGAATTAATTTCTTCACCTGCAGGAACTTCAGAGGGACATAGAGAAACACAGCACTGGGGTGGCATCTGTCCTCAATCTGTGTGAAGTGCTTCTTCATGATTGCGATGCTTGTGCCACAGAAGCAGAGTGTGACTCTATCCAGCAGGCTACGCGCAATCTGGACAGAAGGTGGAGGAACATTTGTGCAATGTCAATGGAAAGGCGACTCAAGTAAGTCTAAAATGCATAGAAATTCGTGTTTCCTTCCATAGGCACAAATACAGGATGGGATGTATGTTATAGGTTGCAGTACCAAAGAAAAGGGTGGAGCGGGGAGAAGAAGATACATACACTGAACAAAAGCCAATAGCTGTTATGCTGTGAGGAGAAAAAAAAGGAATTTGGGGTTAGATGTATATGCTTTTATACAAAGTACAGATATGAGTTACCAAATTTTGCTCACAAGGCCTTTGATTGAATTAAGTCTTATGTCCCATTTTGTAGAAGTGATGGGAGAGGAATGAGAGAAAACTTACTAGCAGTGACTCCAAGAGGTTTAGAAAATATGACCTAAAGGGGAGAGTTATAACATTTAATTTTACCCTAGAACTACTAAGACTGATGTGGAAATTTATAATCAAATGCATGGACTGTTATTCCAGGTGTTAGGATTTTCATGCACCTGATGTTCCTCAACAGTTTCTCTTATGTCTGATTTAGTATATTTGGAAGAATTTTAGGACAGAATGCTCCTCTGGAACGTCCTCATCAGCCCACCTTAGCTTTGCTGGCCAGGTGTGCGCCGTAGGGCCTGGGCATCTTGACAGCGGTCCGGTTTACTGTGTAAGCTCAGCCCACCGGTGCACTGCATGCCCAGGATAGCCACAAGAATCGTTGTTTTCTACTTCCCATCTAGGATAGCATGGGTAATTTTGATAGCCATAATGATGAAGGCTGGATTGGGCCAATGCTTTATACTCTGTGCTGACCAGTAGTAATACATGTTTAACTGTTTGAACTCCTGTGTTTGTGAAGATCTTTTCTGTTTGTTTTTAAGTTATGAATCTGATTTCTGTGATATTTACACAGTCGTATCGGGAACTCTGAGTAAAGTTTATGACTTTCCAAAATGCTCAGTTGAACTTTGTATCATCTTTGGTTTTGTGGGATGTTCTTAATGTATTTAGTAAAGGTTTTCTTTTTTTTTTACGCAAAAAAATAATGTCGCTTTGAAGTTGCTGCTCTATATCCACAAATTGCTAACTTTAAGTAACTTAATGCTGTTGCCATGCTAATTCCTGTATAGTGTATATGTATATATATAAATACAGATTGCAAGTTCTTTGACACAGCCTGTCTTGAAAATATACAGGCTCTTCATACCTTTGTGTCCACCAAATTACTTCTATTTTGAGTTAATGTGCAACAATGAATTGAATTCTGTTTTACTTTCTTGCAATGCAGACATTATCCTAGTAGTAGATTTGTACCAGTAAGTTAACTGAGCAATTGGTATTTATTGTACTGGAAACAGTTACTCATGTTAAAAAGCAACTTTCCAGATGCCAAACTTCAGATTAAACCACATAATCATCAACAAAGCACAAGTTTTACATGGATAAGGTCCTTTTCAGACATGCATATCCACAATTTGGTAAAGATGTATTCTGTATATAAAAACAAAGGTCTTCTGTAATACAGCCTGTCCAAAAAAGACCTCTTTATCTTGAAAGAAGAGGTGTTTAAATTCTTGGGATTCTAGTATCTTAGTATTAAGGAAATTTAGTTTCAGGATTAAGAGTCAGACACTGTTTTTACATATTCAATTGAAGTAAAATTGTGTGGTTTTTTAAACATTGGAATAACTTTTAACTTTTTTTAAAAAATAAAAAGGTTTATCCTGTATATTGAGAGATACAATGTTACTACTTGTTGGTGAATGCAAAACCAATCATGTTTGTGTCCCTTTGCAATGCAGAATAATGACTGAAAACTTAAAAATATATGCTGCAACATTTTTAGTATTCTGTAAGAAAAAGTTCTGCGGCTGAAGGTAGTGTGGAATTTCTAATCTCTCAAATACCGGCTTAGGTGCCTACACTGGGACTGTATTTCAAAAGTTATTTAGCCATATGCTTGTATTTTTAGAACTCTTATTGCATACTTACAACTTTCTTTTTATACTGATTCCAAAACTAGATGCATGGAAAAAAAATGCCACTATCTTATTCTAGCTCAATCTGGAATGAGCCAGCGTTCCCTGTGGTCTGTTTATCAGCCTGACTGTCTGGGTTAGATTAAAAGCCAGTTAATGTCTGGTGCAGCATGAGTTTGCTGTTGTAAATGATTACGTAAGGTTCTGTAGGTCAAATAGCCTTCAGCATGAACATTCCTTAATTTTCTGTTCTCTATTGCAGAATTGAAGAGACGTGGCGGCTATGGCAAAAATTTTTAGATGACTACTCTAGGTTTGAAGACTGGCTAAAAGTTGCTGAGAGGACAGCTGCTTTCCCGAGCTCCTCGGGTGTACTTTACACGGTTGCTAAGGAAGAACTGAAGAAATTTGAGGTGATTTATAATAGTCGAAATTTAATATCTACTTATCACATTACAGCAGACAGCTGTTGTTCTTCCTTCCCATACACAAGTCACTCAACAGAGACACTCTATTAATATAGTGGAGTTGATGATTTTGTAGCTGCCTTGAGTGGCAGGTTTCTAAGATGAAAGAACAGTGGAAGGTGGCAACTGAAAATGCTGATAAATCAATTAACTCTCACTTGTTGTGTATTCACCAAAGTTAGGTTTCTTACCTTTTTTATTTCTGAAGATTTTTAATGTCTTCAGTTAGTGGGTGCTCTAGAGTATTTATAAATCTCAACTCAACAAGTACCTCTTCCAGTGCTGTATGTTTTAGCTTTTGCTTTGATATTATCCCTCCTCTTCTTTCTGTATCTCTCTGAAACCAGACCTCTGAACTTTTTTTCCTGTTTCATACAATGTATGATATCCCATTTTAGATCCTTATACCTGAAATTCATGTTCGTGCAAGTATTGTTTTATGTCCACATGGTGTCCCCCGTGACTTAGAAGTTAAGTCAGTGCTTAAGAGCTTGTTCTGTAACTCCGTTGTGTCTACTATACTATTTGATGGCTTGTCTCATAATTACAGTGGAGTTTTTACCTGTGTGCAAAGCACACACACGTTATGTGACGAGTCATGGGAGAAAATCTGTTGCTCAGTTTCATATTTGCAAGGAGTATATCAAGATGAGTAAAGAAAATATTTCTGAAGAAAGAGGACAAATAGTCTGGCAATTTTTTAAACAGGTGCTGTAAAATTTTCGCTGTGAAGAAGAAACGCAAATTTTAAACATCTAAGACCAGTTAATATATCTTGGTTTAACAATTAATTCAGAAACATAAAGTGTGAAACACTGATTCAAGTTTTAAAATTGACATTCGCATTTCTGAATGTACTGGCCAGGTTTTGTTGTTAAACAAAAAAAGTCGCCAGACTTTATTATGGTGAGGCAGGTTGTCATAATATAAAAATGGACACAAGTACTCTGTCTCAGATCTCGAATATCTTTCTCAATGCCCCTTATTTCAGTGAGCAGGATCTAAATCTCTTGTTTAGTGAGTCTCTGTATGAGAAATAGTACGAGAAATATCTTGGCTATTTGGTTTATACAGCTGATTTGACTTTGCCCAAAGTCTCTTTCACTGAACATCAGCGTTTTGATGACCTTCCTTCTCCTGTAGACTTGTGGAATTTTTACTGTCTACAGAGTGTCATCAGGAACTAGCTGCAGAGAGAACAGATTAGCAGCCTCTCCAGAATCCTTCTGTCCCTGCAGTCTGGTTCTTTCTGGTTTGTTTGCTTCCCACCTCTTTTTCCTGAGCACCTAGTTTCTACACCTACCGGAAACCAGTAATTCAAGTGACAAGAGTTGTGGTGTTCAATTTCAGTAGAATTCAGTAGCTTCACTGTGAAGTCAGTATAAAGTCAGCCATGTGTACGTTTTACTTAAGGTAGATTTAAAAAAAAAAAAAATCTTTTCCCCCTCCATGTTTGCAGCTGAATTAAAAAAAACCCCACCAAACAAAAATCGCACAGCAAACTGTGTAAGATCCTTTAAGTTCCTTTAAGATGAAAAGATGGCTCTCACTGACTTCACTGTACAAAATCAAACTCCTTCGTCTCCAGTAGTTTATGGAGAAATGAAAAGAGGTTACAGGAAGGAATGCAACAGATGAATTCTTGTGTAGCTAAGCTGAAAAAATGGAAGACAGATACACAGCTGTTCTTTTGCTGGACAAGGCTTGGTAACAGGTGAAACAACTGCATGCTTTTAAGTTTCATGATCCTAGTAAACACGGTCAAATTTGTGCCTCTGATATGAGAATTATCTCCTTGTACAATTCTAAGTGAATTCAGTTCTACTGAGCATTTCACTCCAGCTGCAAGCCCATTTAATCCTTGTTGGTTGTCCCCTACCAATTTGATGGCCATTTAATGAAGAGAATACTTCTACTGAAAGGACTCTACAGTTGTTTTTTTAATCTTTTTTTGCAAGCCAGCTTCTTTACTTTTGTCTCTAGTACAACAGCAGAAACGTGCTTATTTCAATTTTAACTTTGACTGGTACAATATGAACAGTGTGTATTGTTTATGAAGAAATCTCAGGTGTTAATAAATTTTAAAGTTTCTGCACAGAAATGTATTACCTATGACACTTCTCTAGTCCTTAGTAAGGGTTGGGTCTAGTTTTAAGAGAGATCAACTTGTTGTTTGCGCTGAGAGGAATATCAAAAAGTAAGCATGTAGAACTACAATGGGAGACAAAACCTACTTGTATTCAAAAGAGAGGTGGTGTAGTCTGTTTTTAAGTCTTCCCTTGATTGCTGTTCTGTTTCTGTGACAAGATAAAATGAGTAGTTTTTTTAAATTTATTCATCTATTTTATTTTTGAAAGAATTAATTCAGTTAACTCCCTATAAGGTGCTTTCTCCAACTTGCTTTGTGATTGCTAGTCACAATCTGAAACTCATGGGCCAACTCCTGTACTGTTTCTGCTCTCCAGCTGGGTGGCTGCGGCAGCAGGGGAGGCACTGAAAGTACATGATGCAGACACTTGCCTGGGCTTAAGTTGGTACTTTTATGCCAGTATACTGAAGATGAAGAGATGATTCCCTCGATAATATTTTTTAATATTTTCGGTAAAACTGAGAATAAACAGTTGCTCAGATCTCTTTGATGTTTGCGTTTCCACAAATTCAGTATGTGTAAGGAAATCTGATGAAGCCATAGGAATCTTGGATTTCTGTTCGTTTTAAAAAATAATATTTCACATTCATTGTTTGTGTTTCTATTCTCAAATTCAAAAGCATATAATTGAGTAGAAAGGGGAGTCCCTTTTTCTGTGTTGATTTTGCTATTGATGGTGCAATTTCTTAATCAGTGAACTGTGCCAGTTTTGTGGACATTTTTCTTTTTTTTGCTCATTTTGATCAGAAGGCAGCCTTTCAATAGGATAGACCTGAATAGATGTCTGCATCCATAGTGAAGTCTACGAGCTAACTGAAGTCAGAGTTCAGAAGTAGAGTGAAAATAAAGGTACTTACATATGTATCTTTATTTGAATAATCAAAACCCTGGTAATGTCTTTTGTTCATATTACTTTAGGCCTTCCAGAGACAAGTGCATGAAAGTCTGACACAGCTGGAACTGATCAATAAACAATATCGCCGCCTGGCCCGAGAGAACCGTACTGACTCTGCCAGCAGCCTCAAGCAGATGGTTCATGAGGGGAACCAGCGATGGGACAACTTACAAAAGCGGGTTACCTCCATCCTGCGCAGGCTAAAAGTATTTTTTCCATTTTTAAGCCCTTCAGTTTCACTACTGAACTTATGAATCAGGGGTACTCCAGAAGCTTCCAGTTTAATGGGTTTGCACAGTGTTTTTGATTTGCATGGTGTTCTGATTTCTACCTTTGGAAGAGGAAGGGAGCTTATCAGTTCTCTTTGTTTGAGGTAACCAAGGCATGAAGTCTGTAGGGGAGTGCTTGGCGATCTCAAACATCACCCTCCTTCATAGAAGTTAGCTTTCTTAGGTCAGGTAATTGCAGCTGTAGATGATGTTACTGAAAAGGAAACTTAGAAAACATGTAGGAAATGAATGAAGAAGATGTCCTGAGTTAAGGTTATATTTGAGGGGCATGAAAGCTATTTCTTCAGAGAACCACTAATGTTGGGGGGTTTTGTATGTTTGGTCATTTCATGCCACTCCATTTTCCACCTCCCAGCATTTTATTGGCCAGCGTGAAGAGTTTGAGACAGCACGTGATAGCATCTTGGTATGGCTAACGGAGATGGACTTGCAGTTGACCAACATTGAGCATTTCTCAGAGTGTGACGTTCAAGCAAAGATAAAGCAACTTAAGGTAACAAATGATTGAATGAGAACAGGAGGAGGGATGAGAGAAGAGAGAAAAACATTTGTGGTGGGAAAAGAATTTTAAGAAACAATATGCAAAACCACAACCTGATACAGTCCCTTACTTGGAGGCAGACACTTCAGGCCTCCGAAGTTATGAACTGTGTCAGGATTCAATATGTACTTTTCTGCCAGGGTGGAGGATCTTTGCACTGTGAAATTTTTGGGAAAATAAAAAAAGAGAGTGATAGTCTCCATTTCCTAATCAAAAGAGGAAATGTCAATAAAAAATATTAATGTCAAGTCTACATTATTGCTGACAGCTAAAAATTGTTACATTTCTCAACCGTTTCTTCATCAGAAGAATCATCATTTGGAGAGAAAAATATCAAATGTTATGTTATCCAAAATTCCAGTGCGTTAGATTTAACATCTGTGTTCATTCGAGACATTTGGTCATGGGCATAGCTTGTTTAGAGAAGAACGTTCTTTCCAAATACAACAAGTGAGGAATGAGATGGTAAACCATGAAGTCTCACTGTTTTTGGCTAGAAAGACAGGAATGCGAGATTTAATTGCTCATTGTTCCTCATGCTAGAATATTTGAGATGATCCCTGTTTGTTACCCACACCACTCTTGCTGAAAAACTCTTTCAGGCTTGCCTCCATAAGAACTTAGGTCATTGTAATGTTGATTTCATTGATAAAGCATGGGCTTTTCTTTTATACAGGCTTTCCAGCAAGAAATTTCACTTAACAACAACAAAATTGAGCAGATAATTGTGCAGGGTGAGCAGCTCATTGAGAAAAGCGAGCCCATAGATGCAGCTGTCATTGAAGAAGAACTAGATGAGCTACGTCGTTACTGTCAGGAGGTCTTTGGACGCGTGGAGCGCTATCACAAGAAACTCATCCGCCTTCCTGTGTGTATACTTACATACATATGTATTTGTTTAATTTGTTGTTTGATTGGTTTTACAAGTGTGAGAATGAGGAGAGTGAAAAATGTTGACATGAGCTAACATGAAACCTCTGTAACTTTCCGGAAGTCCTGTGGTTTAATTTTGTTACAACCCTGACCATCTGCTTCCCTTCATTATGTGCTATTTATATCCTGTTCAAAGAGCAAACTCAACAAATCTGGAGTTTTTGTAAATCATCACAAAAATCCATTAAAGTTGGAGATTTATAGAAGTATATTAATGGGGATAGCAGCATGGTACTGGTAATAAGATAATCTCCCTGCCCTGTCAGATGGTTTCATGATTCTTCCCATCAGAAGAGACAGAAATTTGGCTCCAGAACTGAACACACAGCTGAATAAGTGAGAGCAAAATGATTTTTTGTAGCTCAAATCCTCCTGAAGGGAAGGAGAAAACCCCAGGGCTTTCAAAATGTGAAAGAATATAACGAGAGTAGTGGTCACAATAAAGATCACTTATGCTTCCTATTGCTTGATTCTGCCTTACAGTGGCATCAATAAAAAGTCTGGAGACATATGGCTGATGTGAGACTGTATGGTGCCTTAGGTAATTAAAATGAGCTGACATTTTGAATTTTTTTTTTCCTTTGTGTTTTTAGTGCACCTTAAAATAATGAAAGAGAAGTGCAAAAGAATGCAAAAAGAAAAACCCGTGTGACTGTTGTCTGATGGTACTTTATTTCACTGATCCAGGCTGACCATGCGATGTCTCTGCGCATTTCATTGATGAGTTCTGTTTTCATTATGCTTCTAGCTGACAGATGATGAACATGACCTCTCTGACAGAGAGGTGGATCTGGATGAATCAGCAGATCTCTCTGACATACACTGGCATGACAAATCTGCGGACAGCGTCCTCTCCCCGCACCCCTCTTCCAACCTTTCGCTGCCTCTTTCCCAGCCGGTGAGAAGTGAGCGATCAGGACGGGACACCCCTGCAAGCGTGGATTCCATTCCCCTGGAGTGGGATCATGACTATGACCTTAGCAGGGACCTGGAGACAGCTGTTTCACAGGCTCTGCACTCCGAGGAAGAAGATGGAGGACAAGAGAAGGACTTCTACCTGAGAGGAGCAGCTGGTATAACAGGTATGGTGGCAGATTGTGTGTCCTGCTCTCTCGTAGTAAAACGAAGCAAATGTTATATGTATGATTGCTGGTTCAAGATGCATATGGAAAAGTATTTTAAATAGCCCCTGAAGATTTTAAATAGCTTTCCCTAAGTGATCCCAGTGGCCTTCTGGCCTTAGACACAGTAATGGAGATTCCTGGATGACTACAGCCTTGGAAAATCGCAAAGACATTTATATGATATGACAGGGAATTGGCTGTGTCTCTGTGCTTGTGGCCTGCCAGATGGGCTATGTCATCTGTAACAGCAATGCATCCTAAGTTATTCTGACTAGAAGAAACTATACCGGATATGGCAAGAAATGCAGAACAAACTGATGGAGAGATGCTGTGGGGGAGATCTGCAGAAAAAATCATCAAGTGCTCAAGTAAATTAACTCAGCTCTTACCCAGGCAAGACTCCAGCAACTGAGTGTTTAGCCTGAGGTGGGATCTAGGGTCTCACTCTCCAGTGATGCTGGAAATCCTAAGTGTGTGTGCTTTGTGTTATAAATCTTAATGACTGAAAGTGCCCGAACGCAGCCAGTTCTGGGGGAAGATATAGTCGTATATTGTACTCTTGATCTTGTGGCTGTCTTTTGCTTTCCAGGTCACTGCTCTGAAAAGAGTCAGGTTTGCCTGGATATTAACAGACTTTGTAGCAGGCTCCCTGCATTTCAGTCTTCATCTTGGTCTCCAGAAACGATGTTTGCTATTGGAACCGCTTACGCATTCCATTTCATGATAAAGACTCCTGCTGTAAGGAGGCAGCCATTGCTAAGCTGTCAACTTAGACTGTGCTTTTATTTTTTCAGATGTAGAGATCCCTGAAACTCTTGAGGCCTATGTAGCACTCACAGAAAACGCACTCAAAAATATCTCTGGTAGGCATCAAAAAAAACTGAGGATAGCCAGATACAAATACCACAGTGTGCAAGCATAACTTCTTTCTCTTCTCTTAGCATCTGCTATACTTTTCACAACTTACAAGATAAATATTTCTTACATGGCAGCATTGGCATTTAGTGTAAAAATATCCTGCTTTACTACTGCGCTTAAAGATATTATTAAGTGCATGGATGAAGCAATGATATTTAAAGCATTGGCCCTCCCACCTCAGCTAACTCAACTAAACTGATCGGTAGCTTAATCTGGTCTTTATTCTCTGGAGTCCCTCAATGAGACATAATAATTTTTCATGTCTGAGCAGAGACATAACCTTTGTTTCTACGAGGTTAAAGCAGAAGGAAAAGATGTATATAACAAAACCTAATTGTTTAGTTTTGTACTCATTTTATTAACACAACCACAGCTTAGATTGTTATTTAGGTAAAAAATTTCAAATTAGTTGTTTTGTGTGATAACAATGCTAAAGTGAAATACTGTAGTCCAATGTCTTTATCTTAGTCTTTTATATGGGAATATTATTTTTTTCCATGTTGCATTTTTATTAAAAAAAATGAACCGTTTCATTTGTTAGATGACCCTCTCAGAGGAAGTAGCTGCACTTTCAAGTACCTTCTGTCATGATTTCACAGTTTTTGTCTTTTAAAATAGTGACTTTATTGCAAATTTGAAATAGAAAACATTTTAAATCACACCATCTGTGGTGCAGACTCAGGTTCACTGTCCATTTTTATTTTTTCCCCAAATAAGTGAAATAATATTATTATGATTGATTAAGGATGCATACAGAAAAATGTGTGCAGTTTTCTGACCTGTGGAAGTTTTGAAAGAGTGACAGAAAAGTGATATTGAGCACTGTGCGTTTGGGGCGAGGCAGTGTTTTGAATAAGAATGATGAACTATCTAAGAGGCTCCATTTTCTGTAATTAGGTGCACAGAAGGTTCCTATTCTCAATGCATGTTTTTAATTGTCTTTATGAATAAATTCAAACTGTCTTTATAAACAGATGGAAATCGGGCATAATGATAGAATATGGATAAGAGGGCTCTCATGTGGTCCTCTAGGCTTCAGATTAGAATTCAAGTTAGAATTGATTGTAGCTAATTCACATCACAGAATTCAGCTGACCTCTGCAAAGAAAATAAGTTAGTCCTGCTTCTGAAACATTGATATGTGTTCCAGACAGCTCAGATAAATAATACAGTCTTGCAGATATGTTAGGCATAATTTTTGTCAACACTTAATTGAAAAAATACTATAGAGTTTCCCCCTTATTGTAGTTGCTAAGTTAGTTATGCACTACTTCTTGTAGGCCCTTCAAGACATTCAGTCATCTGTGGATTTTGAGAAAACAACAGTATCGTTTAGTGCTTGTGTACCGCTTTTAATCTTCTAACTCATATCCAAATAAGATCCTTCCACGTAAATCAAAATTCCGCTGTTTTTAGTGGAGAGAAGTAATAAAGTGAGAAATTAGGAGAAAATAAATTTTAACACACATTTTGGATTAGGGATTTAGGATACAAGTCTTCATCTGAGAGTATTTGTGAAAGGAATCATAGGCCTTCTCCAAAGTGGCTTAGAGCACACTTTGCCAAGAACTTTCCCCTTCAGAGAGGTGAGGAATTCTCCGAGAGAAAAAATCGTGTCAGAATAGTTTGCAAGCCTGCTTTAAGCTGTAGACTCTTTGATAGTATGCTAATGGCAAGCATGTTCATTGGTATAATCATCTGTCTGCTGAAGGTCGCTAACACCCTCTAATGTAACTGATTAGCAGTTCACTTTGACGTTGTACCACTCATACTGCTGCAGTCACATTTGCCTTTACTTTCTAATCTAGATAGTATTCCTGATATTTATTCTGCCTGGGCAAAAGATGAAAAAATACTGTGGGAAAACTTAGGTGACAGTCACTTTTTGTGGTTTTGGTACAGGAGAACCTGGTGCCCTGGAAGCACATATCCGACAGCTGGACAAGGCCTTGGACACCAGTCGTTTCCAAATACAGCAAACGGAAAACATTATCCGCAGCAAAACACCTACTGGACCAGAGCTGGATTCCACTTACAAAGGATATGTGCGTGTATTTTGTAGCACAAGTTGAATAAGCACTCAAAGCTTAGATTTGCTATTGAAATAAATATAGCTGTTTCAATAAAGCAATTAGATATTACTGCTTCTCAGACGTACTCACATGGTTTATATCCTTAATAGCATGCTATCGTTGTTTATGTTGTGTTTGCACTATTTGTGTTTATGTTATTTGTGTTTGCAATAGCATAAGATTACAGGAACAGGACTTTAAGAAATGTATTTTCCTGTTACATTTTTGCAGATGTCCAAAAGCACTTTCTCACACGTGTTTTTGTCCATCTGATGACGATACACTTGTTTAAAGTTCCTCTGCTTTTAAAAGCAGGTTTTATAGCTTCATGCACAGTATTTGTCTTGCTGATGAATTACAAACACGCATCACGTAAGCAAGATTGGGTATATGGAATCCGTCACTAAAGAGCTTTCTCAGGTTTTCTGGAAGAAAAATGTCTCTCTAAATCAGTCAAATAATTTTATTGCCAACAGAATTGAAAGATTAGATGATTGGATGCATAGTACATTTCCATACTTAAATTTGTTTTCTTTATGATATCTTCTAGTGTCTTTGCCATAGTGGCTTATAATTTAGAACAGATGGCACCTGAAGTTATCCAGCACAGTTTAGTACTAACTGAGTTATTTTTGTTTAGTCTGAACTTATGCTTTAAACCTTTATTATCTCCATATACATTTCGTTGATAGTATCAGGACAGGTTGTTGAAGTAATAGATTTTTATCTTCACATTACTTCACCTACTTTTGGAAAATTATGGAAATTGCATTGTAATTTGCATGTTCCATGTAGTTAGTCCTGTGCAGTGCATATTGACATGGGATTTTTTTGTTTGTTAATACAGATGAAGCTGTTGGGTGAATGCAGTGGAAGCATCGAATCAGTAAAAAGGCTTGGATATAAACTGAAGGAGGAAGAAGAAAAATTAGCTGGACTTATTAACCTAAACAGTACTGAAACACAAACAGCTGGCAAGTAACATTTAGTTCGCTGATGTGAAACAATTGTGAAAAGTAGCAAACACACAAATTTTTTTGAATAAATACTTGGTGTTATTTATGGACATATTTATATTTACATGACTGCGTTACCATTTTCTATTTAACAGCTCTTAATAGGAACAGAAAGGAATAGTAAGTATTCCTTGTCTATGCCCTAGAAAGAGATTAGACACACAAGTGCATTTTAAGAACTGCTTCATGTCGTGAGACATAACCCTAAGCCTTTCAGAAAGTCCCTGTGCATGCAGAACTTTTTTTCTTGTTGAAAGTTTTCTGGTAAAAAAAGGTTGCTTGTATTGCTATACAAAATACAGAGGTCAGCATTCATTTCTTCCAATATTAGCTCTTACTTCTAATATTATCTATCTGCAGCACAGAAATCTATATTCACCTGGTAGAAATATTTACTTGACTAATTTTGAGCAGCAGCTGGAAGACAGGAGGAATTGCATTGTAAAAACAGTTCCAGAGACTGCAAAGGCAACGTCTCCATTCTTAGCTTGGCAAGATATGCTACCCATGAAGTCTATTTTATTTTAATCTCTTTTTTTAATTTTAAGTTGATGGAATGATACAACTTGTCCTTCTGCCATAGGGTTTCAAGATAACCGACAAGAAGAAATAGCCCCTAAATTATTTCTTTTTAGTACGGATACTGGTCCAATGCATGAGCAGTAGCTTAGGCAAATGTAGTGAGGTGTGAGTATTAAATTGTAATGGGTACAAATACCAGTGAAAATAATAAAAAATATGTGGCTAGTTAACATTTCAGATTCCTTGTCTGGTTTGCATTTATGCTAATTTATGATGTCTTTATACCCGCATAACCCCTTTTAGAGACCTGCATGAATCAGCTTAATTCTGTTCATAGAATTCTGCCTGGAGTCATCCAGTTTCTTCATTCTTTCTCTCCAATATCACATTCTTCAATCTAACTTAGATTTTAGTGTGGTGTTTTGTGGGTTAGGGTTTTTTAAGATTTTATGGAACATGCTTTTGTCCTGCACAGGATTCAGCTGATGCAGTTGTGTGTGTGGCTAGTGGCTATTTGCTATTTTTGAATTTGTTGTTTATCATTCCAGGTGTAATTGACCGATGGGAGTTAATCCAGGCTCAGGCTCTAAGCAAGGAGCTGAGAATGAAGCAGAACCTTCAGCAATGGCAGCAGTTTAATTCTGACCTTGATAATGTTTGGTCTTGGTTGGGAGAAACTGAAGAGGAATTGGAGAAGCTCCGATGTCTTGATCTCAGCACTGACATAAAAACTATTGAGCTCAGAATTAAAAAACTGAAAGTGAGTTTTATTTCTCTTTTCCATGAGTTACTTGTAAACAGACCTGAGTGGTTGCCAATAGTTGCAGCTGGCTTGCTCCATTCTGCGCATAGCGGGCTACTGCTGATAACTAAAGTAACTGAGTAAGCGGTGTTATGAATCCCTTTTTGGCAGAAAAATGTACCACTGGCATTTATTATATAATCCAAATGATTTTCTGAAATAGTAATTCTGTGCCATTTCTATAATTCCAGAAGGTACAGATAATTCCTGATGTCAGACAAAGTCATGAAAGAAAAAAAAAAAGCCAAGTTAAATCAAATCTATTCTAGTCAAACTGATAACAAAATAGCTACCTTAAAAGAAATGTCTCACTGGGACATATGATTTCCTGTGGAGGAAAGAGAGAGTTCCAAAAAAGTTGTAGCCTACCCACTGCTGTCACCAGCACAGCATAGGAAAAATTCGGTGTCACTTTGCAACGTTCCTGTTCCCTGCTGCCTTTGTGATTTCTTCTGCTATAAAGATCTGCAAATGCTGTGGTCCACAACTTCACATTCAATGACTATGTCTTTGGACACAAAAATACGGGGACCAATGTCAGAAAGCACTGTGCTCTACGCTAGGAATGAGGTGGACAGAAAAAAAAGGCTGTTTCCGGCAGTGATCCATCTAAAGCATATTAATGCTAATCTTCACTGGAATCCAAATATAGCTGCCATAAGTACTACAAAGGTCACTGTGACATGGGGATTTTAAGTAAATGCTGTAAAGTAGGTGGAAAAGGGGGCATTTCATAAGAACCCACTTCTTATCTCACCCATTCTTGGAAAGCCCATTAGTGCCCTCCAGACCAAAAGAGGTGGAGTTTCTTTTGTGGCTTCCTGCGTAAACAAATCAGAGTTTTTATACATGTCCTGCTTGTATAAATTGGAGTAGGTTGTTTACACTCTTTTATATGTTTTCTTCTCCCTCACTAAAAGCTTTTATTTTAAAGTACTGTTGACAACAGTTTCCCCTTGAAAACATGTTGGATTTTATGTTTATCAGCAAAACCAAGAAGTGAGGGCAGAAGTTTTATTGTCAGCTAAAGTACAATTGGCCTACATGTTTTTAAAATATCTAAAACATGAGCCATATCTTTAAAATTCAACTATGACTTCAGGCTTTTAAGACTTTATGAGTTTAATTGGCTTGTTCTAGTTTATGTTCACAGTAAAGTTTTGGCAGATGTTAAGAGTGAATATTTGGAGAGTCACAGAGTGAGCACGGAAATCTCATACCCAGAATAAAGAGACTGTTACAGTAAGGTACCATTCTGCAGTTGCTGATGGCAAGTCATTGCATTCTTGCAGTGAACCACTTCTTGGAACTTCTGAAAGTCACATTTTACCAATTTCCATCCTTTCTTACCCCGCCCCGCTTTGTCTTATCATCAAGGAGCTGCAGAAAGCAATCGACAACCGCAAAGCGATCATTTTGTCCATCAATCTGTGCAGCTCAGAGTTCACTCAGTCTGACAGCGAAGAGAGCAAGAAGCTTCAGGAGCGCCTGTCTCAGATGAATGTGCGCTGGGACCACGTGTGCAGTATGATTGAAGAGTGGCGCTGCTCATTGCAGGATGCGTTAATGCAGTGTCAGGTCGGTACTGCGCTTAATTTAAACTGTGAGCATCCCTCATATAAAAAGTATAAATTGTATCGTTATCTGGTGTGCTCGTTGTCCAGTCTGAAATGTGCCTGTGCAAGCCAAACTACAACTTCAGCATGTGTTTTCTGAAAGACGCACCTGCACTATCTGAAGCATGTATTTCCAGCTAAAGATTTTCTAAATTTATAATTTTCTAAATCTCTGGAGTAGCATTCTAATATGCTCTTCTACGCTTCCTCATAAGTTATGTTATTCAGCCAGTAGGACCTATCACAGGAAAAACTGAAAACCTGAATTTGACTGAAATTTTCTGCTACGCTTTTAAAATCATCACTCACCACTTGCAGGATTTCCATGAAATGAGCCATGGCTTGCTGCTTTGGTTAGAGAATATTGACAGAAGAAAAAATGAGATTGTGCCCATCAATCCAAACCTGGACTCAGAAATCCTACAGGATCATCACAGACTTCTAATGGTAGGGCTATAATCACCCTTTTCTCTCCCAAAACGCATCATCAAAAAAACACCTAATTAGATTTATCTTTCTCTTGAGGGTTAGCATTGTGCATCCCAGTTGTGGGAGAAATGTCAGTAACTAACTTTAGTATGCTGCTCACTTCTATTAGTACAATAACTCGTGATTTAAAATCTCAGGCAACCCTAGGCTACTGTCTATCTTCTTGTCAGATAGAAATTTTTATTGCTTCCCTTTTCTTTCCATTTCATTAATTTCAAATGTCCAGTTTTGTGAGTTCTAGCTTTTTACCTTTTTTTTTTTTTAAAATTTCCATTAAAAAACCATGATATTTGCCTTGGCAACAGCAAATTAGACGTGAACTGCTGGAGTCTCAGTTGAAGGTGGCGTCACTGCAAGACATGTCCTGCCAATTGCTAGTCAATGCTGAAGGCAGGGACTGTCTTGAAGCCAAAGAAAAGGTGCACGTCATTGGAAACAGACTGAAGCTCCTCTTGAAAGAGGTCACACGTCATATTAAAGACTTAGAGAAAATTCTAGACATTTCAAGTAGTCAACTGGTAAGTCATGTCTTTTTATTCCTTGCTGATTTTTGGGCACACATTTCCCACTGTTCTGACTGTCTTTCTGGGCTCAGTGCTGTTGGCTGCACTATTTCTGTTGTTTGCAATACCTACCAAGACAGTACACATGTAATCTTGAATATCACAAAGTAATCTTACACCTCATAATGTCAACATAATGTGATATGGTGGGGGGGTTTCAATCCAGTAATTTTTTGCGATTTGGTGTAGAAATAAGCCTTGAACATCTTGGTTTGTTTATCATGCCATTATTGATTCAATCAACTGGGGAAGTATATGAAATAATTTTCTGGTTTCAGTACTGAAAATTACAGTGTACTAGAAAGGAAGATAATGCTTAGTGTGTCAAAGAAAAGAAAAAGCGTGTGATAAATTCTGTAAAAGGCTAACAAATCTCTCACAGTGCTTTCAGAGCTTTGAGCTGTACTCCGTATCTTTTCAAAGTATCATGTATCTCAGGGTATTTGAGAGGGAGTTATGCATACATCTTTGCCAGTAGTGGCAGGTATACAAATTGCAAGGTTCTCCAGTTAATTTTTTTTAAAGGCTTGCATTGACAGAGTGCATAAGGTGTGAGAACTCAGCTTTTCCCTCTTAGTGAATTTCTGTCTAAGTGAAATCTTGGTAGTACCAACCTCCTCTTGTCATTAGAGGCCAGTAAAGGGCAACTGTTCTTCCTCTGTATTGACTTTGTTGTAAAATGTGTCACCTAAAGCTATTAAATTTTAATTACTTGTTTGTTTCTCTTTTCCTTCAGGGCTAACAGAGAAAATATGTAATGCCTTAGTCTTATAAAATTTGGTAACAAATTCTTACTGCTTTTTTCGTTTCTTTTGGAAATAACTCTGCTGAGATTTCACTCAGGGCTTTTTTCCTAGTTTGCTTACCTGAACAGCTAGTAGCTGTATTTCTGAGTTCCATTCCTTCTGAACTTTAGGAATTGTCCTCATGGTCCTCTGCTGATGAATTAGACACATCAGACTCAGTGAGTCCTGTATCTGGAAGAAGCACTCCAAGCAGACAGAGAACGGTAATTTCATGTCATATATTTTCTGCCACCTCCTGGGTGGGAGCTTTAGCTGTCTACAGTAGCTCTAGTCAGCTGGAAGGCCCCCTTCTGACTTGATAGGAAAGGAAATGGCATAAACCAAGAAAAACAACACAGCTGCTTTCCCCAACCCTGCTGCAAATCCCACCCTGCATGAAATCAGAAGTGGTAAATACTATCTAAAACCAGGGCTGTCAGTGTGGTTGTTTTACCATGGTATGGCATGTCGTGTCTCTTGTATTTTGCTCTAGTGATGGCAGCATCCCAAAGTCTGGTCTTGTCTGGTATAAGCAGTCCTCCATTTCTGTTTGGCCTTCTCTTCAGAGCTGCTTCATCGAGAATCTCAATAAGGGGTTTTTATCCTTTCGGATGAAGGCTGCAGATGCTCTTGTTGAGACTTTGGATGAATGGCTAAGTAGAGCTGAAGGGCATAAAACATTATTCAAAACAGCTAGTTGCACAGGACCTAATCAATGGCTATGATGGCAACTCTGGAGTTGTCTATTTACATCGCTGGCACAAAATTCAAGAAATATAGCAATACATGCCTAGTACTTAACACTTCCATACTTTGAGCCCAAAATGGAACTGCAATTATTTTGTCTTTTTCTGCAATTCTATTGGTTGATTACTTTGCTGTTTTCCTTAGTTCTTAAAACAATCAGGTTGGTTTTTTGGGTTTTAGTTGGTTTTTTTTTTCCATTTGCACTTTTCATAAAGCCTCTGAGTTTGGTCTTGATAAATTTTATGGCTCTTCAAGTTGGTTTCTTTTGTTTTTACATTCACTAGTTTCCTTTTAGATGCTAGTATGAGAATGTAAAGGAACACTGGCTTTTCAAAATAAGAAAGAGTTGTAAACCTTAACATTTTACTTCAGAGGTCAATGCTTTCATCTTTTAAACTCAAATAACTAATAAAAGCTCTGTGATATCTCAAATGTAGCTGGAGGATGCCTGACCATTACAGGAAATGGAGAAGTATTTTGACATAAAATCTCTGTATAAAGAGTATGTAGAATTATAGTAAGTTTCATCTTAACATTTTAATGAGAATTAGTCTATTTCTAATTTGTTAGTGTTTATATATATGACTACTTTTTTCCTTTTTGTCTGTAATGTGTAACTATGTTATATAATTCCTTGGGGTCTGGTTTTCAGACTTCTGGGTTTTGCACCCACAATTTTGGAGACTGAAATTATGTTTAGAATTTCAGTGCCAAATATACTGATGCTAAATGAATAAATACTAATACCAAAAATACGATCAGAATTATAATTGTCTAACTGCATTAAATATTCCAGCAAATAGTTGTGAGTGCAGGAATGTAACTACAGTTATTTGGCCTTCAAAATTTTGGGAGGGATGGGGCTGAAGATGAGGCCAGACTCGTCAAAGGAGGCCCTTGGACCTTTTTGCCTTGGGAATTTTAATTTTGCTGCATTAACCTTTTTAAATACCTATATTTGCCCGTATTCAAATCAATAATATTTTTCGATTTCAAATTAAAAATTATTTGAGCTAAATTTCTAGTGATTTTTTTAAAAAATCCAGAGCTTCTGTTCATTAGAGTAATGACTAAATTTGTTATTTGCAAGTTCACTGTGTATGTTCTGATCATTTTCCTACTCAGCTAGGCGCAAAGAAAAGCCAGTTTCCTTGGTTCATGGGTATTGATCATTTCATTTGATTTTACTTTGTTTATGTTTCCTTTGCTGCACTTTTAATTTAGTATCATCAGTAGCTTGTCTTTATTTGCCTGGACTGAACATTCTTCTTTCTTTACCCCCTGTTCATTGCAAACAGCCACGGGGCAAATGTAGTCTCTCACAGCCTGGACCCTCTGTCAGCAGTCCACAGAGCAGGTACCTTATTCTCCTGGTTTCCGCACTCTGTTCTAGAACCCCAAGAGGATGATAGAAATTGGCCGTGATCCTTCCCCGTCCGCACTGACTCCATCAGGTGGCCAGGACTTAAAGAAGGGAAAACTTGCCTTTTGCTCATAGTTTGGCAAAAGGGGATCACAATTACTTCAAATTCATTGTTAAACAGAAATACCAACTAATCCTGGAACATCTGTGGCTTTTGCTTCCCAGAAATGCCATGTAATCAGTATTTATTTTCCATATGCCTGATCAAGGTGAGTGTGTGTTTACACTCATGATATTTCATAATTATTTTTTTGCATGATTTAACAGAAATGCCAGTAGCTTCATGGCAAACATTTTTTATCATCCTCTTTACCTCTAGATATTAAATTAAGGCAGGTAATAGATCAGTACCATATTCTAGAATTCACAAAACCCACAGATCTGGACGAGACATACTAACATCCTTTTCTTTCTTTTCTTTCTTTTTTTTTTCCTCTGAATTGTTTTGTTCAGTTTGTGGGTTTTCAGTACTTAAGACTCAAAATTAAAAGTCATCACGTGAGGGGTTTGAGACCTGAGGTCACTTCCTCTCCCCTCCTAGACCGACTGCAATATAACATGCTAACATTGCCATGACTTGCCAAGTGCTTGCATCCGTGTATTGCTCTGGGAGCAGCACTGCCCCATCTCTGTCTGACCAGTAGAGAGCAGGCTTGCAGCTGCAGCTTTTTGCTTTCCACCTTGTCTCTCCAGCAACCTGTCATCTCTGCAGCTAATAGTGCTTCTGCATTCTTTGTTGTTGTCAGTGTGATGTGTGTACCTCCACTCTTTCACTGATCAGTTCACTAGCCTCTAGAATTATAAAGTTTAAAAAAAAAAAAAAGGTGAATTAGCAGGTCGATGTGCATAAGGCAGGTGTCTTTTGCTATTTCAGCATCTTATGTATTGCAACAGCTTAAATCAGAAAGTAAGATGAAAATATATTTGTTCTTATAGTTGAGTCCTAAATCTCATTTATTCTCTATATATTGAAAATTAACTAATTCATTTTTAAAATAACTCCTGTTAAAGTGAAAGATTTTATGTTGGAAAGAAGACAACACTAGAATTAATACAGTGAATAAGCAATAACTAAGCAGATAAAAAATACCTAGAGAATATTACTTCTTTTCATGAGCAAAATCAAGTCTTTATTCAGCAAAATTATTCTCATATATAAATGAAATAAATTTAGATATTTAAACAGACCTTAAAAAACAGGTTTGCTTTCTATGTGTAGTTAGTGACTATTAGGAAAGTGGCATAGTTGCAAATCCACATTGCATAGCAGACAGAAGAGGTAGAGTGTTTTTCACTGCTTCCACTGGCACTGAGAAGCTGCCTTATTTTTAGGGATTTTTCTTTCTCTGAAACATAAGGAAACTACATAGAAAATAGGTGATATACGTACACTCCATCTTCCTGCCTGCTATGAAGCTTGGCATTTTTTTTTCTGATAGGGAGTGGGTTAAGGGAGGAGTGGGAGTTGACTCTGCAGCCATTAACAACTGGGAGGAATGGAGGATGCCTTCGGCAGATCAGCATACTTGCACTAGCAATGTTGTACTCAAGAAACACATCTCTCCTCTGTAGCCAGACCACTTCTGCCAACCTTTTGAGAAGGTTGCTGGTTGTAGGTACGAGCCACTGGCTCAAAGAGCAGCTAGCAGTGCTTTGCAGCTTTGAGATCAGCCTCTATTCTAGCAGTGGCATTGGTGCGGCACCCTTCAGATCAAGTCTTTCCAGCACTGTTTATTAACACATCTTGTAGCGGTACAACACAATGTTCAATTTGTCATTCAGACAAGCATGGAATACGAATGAGTCACTGCTGAATAGGAAACTTAATCAAATGCGCAAGCCAGACAGGTTGTGGTTGATGTATAATGTGGTTTTAACTGATAAAGCGGTACAAGCTGTCACTGTGTTCTTTAATATTTTGACATGCCTCCGATCAGAGTACTTTGTGTTTGATCTTGCACTGGATCAGCAAACCCTGTTAGAGTTTAGTATACAGAATAACTAAAGTCAGTTTTAAAAAGTTTACCACATAGGAGGTTGTGAAAGAAAGTTCATTTAAAAAGTAGAGGGACTGTGTTTTACATATAACAAGTGTGATATCACTTTGCCTTATGTGTTATCACAACAAAAAGGCAAGCATACATTGTGTGATGCTGAGCGAGGTAGAAGCTTAAACTAGGCATTACATTCTGTATTTAACTAAAGGCTCATTCAAGAGGTATTAGTGATTGTGTGCTAAGTGGGCAAAGCAGCTTCTCTTTCTTCATCAGTTTAATAGAGCTGTTATAAATGCATACCTGGATCTGTGCCTATGGATTTTTTTTTTAAGTGAATAAGATGTTAAAAAGATCAGAATAGTGGTTCAGTTTGCTCAAGGGTGTTTACATTGTCTCTCTTGAGCAGCTCTATTCAGTTCTTGGTGCCACAGTGCCAACCTCCATTTCCTGCCCTCCACAAGTCTCCCCAGATGACCAGTGGATCTTTGAAGGTCATTTACGGTACCTGGAGCAGGCCAGGCCACTGCCCTCTCCATGCCTTTGGCCACAAAGTGTCAGTCATTGCCACACAGCAGCTCAGACATGAGGTTTGGGCTTGACTTGCCATGATTCTTCTCCTAGTTATCTCCCACACTCTCACTTCAAGCTTGTAACTTAAACTTCATACTTAACTGCCTTTGAAATGGACATACTCATCTTCTTTACAGGGTAAACAAAATTTGAGGTTGGAATGATGAGGTACTGAGAGCTAGGGAGAGAACTGAAGTCAGAATGCAGCCAAACGAAGTTACTCCTAGGGAGCCTCTTAGGCCACCAAGAGGAGTCATTGCCTTCCCTTGTGGGCAGAGCATCACACTGTTGGAGCGGGTCCAGAGGAGGGCTACTAGGATGGTCAGAGGACTGGAAAACCTCTCCTACGAAGACAGGATGAGAGAGTTAGGCTTGGAAAAGAGAAGGCTCCGGGGAGACCTTATAGCAGCCTTCCAGTACCTGAAGGGGCCCTACAAGAAGGCTGGGGAGGGACTTTTTACAAGGGCCTGTAGCAATAGTACAAGGGGTAATGGGTGGAAGCTGGGAGAACATAGGTTTAGACTAAATATAAGAAGTTCTTTACCCTGAGAGTGGTGAGACACTGCAACAGGTTCCCCATGGAGGTTGTGGATGCTCCATCCCTGGAGACATTCAATGCCTGGATGGAGCACTGATCTAGTGGGGGATGTCCCTGCCATGGCAGGGGGTTTGGAACTGGATGATCTTTGAGGTCCCTTCCAACCCAAATTATTCTATTATTCTATATGATTCTGTGATACCTTCTCCTTCATAAGTCTAGCAACCTTGATTTAAAAAAATTAGAATCAGGGGAAGAAAAGTCCATTACAAGTTCAGTATCAAGTTTAATTGCTCTGATTATCTGGAAGTACAGTAATTTCCACCTTGAATGTATCCATGGTTAGATGTAGTAATTTGATTTTGTGCCAGCATTATCCCTTCCTTTAACAGCTGTTCACCCTTCTTTCTGTTTTGTGTTATTTTATAAAGGGTAGTTTTAGTATTTCTCAAGTTTTCTATTTGTAAGCTCAGCTTTTTATTTCCTTCATAGGAGAAATAATCAATTTTTGGACTCCTTTAAACTTGTGTGAATTTGAATTCATCTTTCCAGAAGTATGTTAACCAAGCAGCCAGTCCTGTTTTCTCTTTGCAGAGGCTTCCAGTTTCTGTCATCAGATAGATGAAATTTGCTGTTATCATATTTTGTGTCATAGTCTTTTCATAAAGATATTAAAGCAAGGCTCATCCTTCATTAGCTCCAGTAATAACATCCTACTGGCCCAGCAGTGCCTCTTTCCATGTGAGCCTGTTGTCCGCATTCCATTAGTCACTTCCCTGTTAAACTCTATTTATTCCGATCAGTTTTGCTTGAATGATAAATTCTTGTGTTACAATTTCTCAGATGTTTACTGCAATACAGATAGATTACTTCAACTATATTTTCTCTGAAAAAATATCCGTCATCTTTAAAAGAAGGTACTCAGCTGAAATTAAAGTTCACTTTGCCCGTTCAATCTATAGCCTGGTACATTAGCTTCTCCTCTCTTGAAATGCTTACGAAAGAGTTCCAATTTCACTGACATTACAAACTCTTGAAGTAAGGGTAACTATTGCTTGCACTTCTTGGGTTAATTTGTGAGATTTCTTGACATGAAGAAGCTTACTGTTGGCCAGGTCTGCAGCTCTGCCTCCCGCTTTTATCTAGTTAGTAGGAATTGTGTATGGAGTGAGTAGCAGACAGCTAGGCTATACTTCCTTCTGTCCTCAGAGGCCTCTGTGACAAATAGTGAAGCAGTCAGAAGGGAGACAACTAAAGATACAAGCTCAAGAAAAAGAACGTTTTTCTCCAAAGTGGCATACAGTACTTCAGCTTTCCCTTCTGCTGGAGTAAATAGGAGTTCTGTCCCTTATGAACAGTGGGCCTGTTTTATTAGCAATGTATATTTTTAACCATCTCTCCTTAACAAATCCATTAAGCACTCTAAGCTAAGCCATTCCGTTTTCAGCCAATTAGTAAATTATAGAAGCGTGCCTGTAATAAACACAGACAGTACAGCACTTGAATTTTTTAGAACTCCCTCTCTGAAGCTGTTTTCGTAATGTTTCATTATTTACTTGTTTAATTGTTTCCATGAAATATTAGAAACTGTTCTTCAACACCCTACTTCACTGCAGAAGAAGTGTTTTGAAAATCTTTGCTGTGAACTGTTTTAATTTTAAATGTTTGTGGTCCTTTTTGAGATCAGCCATGCAGCTTACACATACTACTCTTCTTGTTCCTTTTTTTTTTTGGTAAAACACAAAGAAAAAAGTACTGGATTGTGCTACTAAAGCCACAGGAAAAGAAAAGAAAGATGAGATGTTAACATTGCCTGTTTCTTTTTAATTCTGCTTTTCGGAAGTTCCCCTTCTGACACTCAGTGCTGCCTCAGAGTAACTCTCAGTCAGCGAAGAAAATTCAGACTTTGCTCATTACCAACTGCAGAAATGTGGCCTTTTTTGATTGGGATTAACAACATTTGTACAATGAGAGCCTTGTAAGTAGGTAGACCGTGCAATCAAAATGCTTGGCACGTAATTAAGCACTCCTTGTTCCCTTTGTTCCTACCTCAGTCCATTAACTTTCTTTCTTGGCATTCTCAGACAGTAGAAGTCCTGATCTAATTGAACTTTAATATGGAATGCTCTGATGCTGTTAAATGTGCCATATCCTTTCAATATGTTCTTTATAGTATGTGATCTTACATTATGCGATAAGCAGCCTTCCATCCGGGCTACAGTAACGTTGATTCAAACAACATGCGGTCTGATGTTTTGATCATCTCTCCTTCCTGGAATATTTAGGTCAAGTTAATAATTTAGCATACCTGAGTGTTTATGTATCTGTTGGTCATGTAAACTTTTTCAAATCTGTCTGGCTTTCTTGAAGTCTTCTTACTGGGATGATGCACCTATGTGAACAAAACAATAAGAATTATCTCAAGGATAGAAAGAATTCTTTTCTGAACATGGGGGAAAGGCAGCCTTGCCAAGTTTGACATAGTTTTGAAGACGATATTTTGGTTTTGGCATGCTTTCTCACACAGATTCAGATTTATCTGTGGATTAAAAGGACAAAGGGAAGGCAAAGAGAAACTAAGGAATGCTTGCCCGCTACTTGCCTTACTGGGGAGCATATGACCTCAGTCAGCAAGCTTGATCTCCCACACCTTCAAGTTAAGACTAAATTCATCCTTACGAACATTTTTATTTCTTATATCCTAGCAAATGCTAGATGTTCTGGGGCTTCATAATCATAGTGGCCATATGAATGTTTTCCAGCAACATGTCTAAGACAAAGTTCATGACATAATTTCTTAATGGAAGAATTCTTGAAGAAAATTATTTGAAGGCTCCAAGTTCTTCCATTTTTGCCCAATGTTAAAATACAGTAGTTTGCCGTGCCATTTAATCAGCACACTGGGACCATCAAATTCTAACTTGCGTAATCACTCTTTTCACTCAGCCACTTATCTCAAAACCTATCATCTTGTATATTAGAGCTCTGACAGTTTCAGCCAAAAAGGAAAATATAATAACTATGTCTTCATCCTTCATGAAAAAGTAGATTGGATTTCTGTGCTTCATTTGAAGGGACCCTTTGGAAATGTTTGCATTAAGTCTCATCTCTCCCACAGACATGTCCTATGTGCCATTTCAAATCAAATCTGTAGTCACAAAGAGAGAAAATCACTTAGAGAGTGATGGTGTCAAATCAGTTGAGCAACTAGGTTTTAGCTGCTGATTCAGTGCAAGATTCAAAATACAATGTACTTTTTAGAAAATGAGTCCCCATTGCCTGCATGTTGGTGTATTAATTAATTGAAGGTTCGTGTAGCTTAATTTTTAATGCTTTGTGTCTTTGAGGATACTATATACAGAAATGAATGTAGAGCCTTCTGCAAACCAAATGCTACTGCCATTTTAAACGATGAAGCTTCCTTTTTAGACAGTGTGCGATGAACATGTGACAGGTGTGGCCCACCTTTTATTTCCCTCTTCTCCACAGCTCAGTGTTTTAAGGGGAGAGTGTTCCCTATAATAAATGAAGAGACTGTGGAGTCACAAAGGCCATTCTTTTGTGGTCTTTTGGCATCTTCCTACCCAGTCTAGAAATACAGAGTCTCTTAAGAGTATTAGGCATACAGCATGCTCACTGAAAAATACCTCTACAGTTGTCAGTCAAAGTCTGTACAAATTGTAAACCAGCCTTCAGGAAGGGCTGAGTGCCCGAGGACAAGGTCTGCTGCAGTAATGTTTTCATGTATTCACCTGTCCATCCTCTTTCCTCAGGTCCACAAGAGGTGGCTCAGGTTCCTCCCCTTCTGAGGCTGGGCCAGCGTGGCAGCACTCGTCCTTCTTCCTCAGAGTCCTCAGAGCTGCTCTGCCACTTCAGCTCCTCTTGTTGCTCCTGATCGGGCTGACTTGCCTGGTGCCAGTGACCGAGGAGGACTACAGCTGTACAATGGCCAACAACTTTGCCCGCTCTTTCCACCCCATGCTAAAATACATGAATGGTCCACCTCCATTATGAAGGAGACCTGTGAGACAGCGGGTCACCTCGCTAGAATGCTAGCGGGGAGGAACGATGGTTCTCAAGGGTAACAGGTTTCAGTGTGGCAGCTTTACCGACCTGCTGTAGCCACTGCTGTGTCCATATCATTTCTCTGCTGGCCCTCAGCTCGTAACGCATCAATATATCAATATCAACCTGCACAGCATATTACCTGAGTCGCATTGTTTCAATACTTGCATCCTGGGTACTAAGGAGGATGTAACGTGTGTGAGGGAAATGTCCTTCTGTCCAGCATTCTGGATGTTTTAGCCACTTTATATCCAGGTCATTGCCCTGTACTATGCATAGCCAAGGACTTCATACTGTAGATTTTTTCCTGTGTGCTGCTCTAAATGAGCCATTAGCCACCAGTCTTTGTTAAATACCCTCTCAGTATCTACAGTGTACAAAATAAGCAATGGTAAAGAAATTTTAGAGCATTTGTAACATACAATTTTAAAGATTCTTGTATGGCAATGTATTATTCTCCGTGGTTTCTGTTTTAGGCATGGTGTTCTAACTTTTGCTTTGGATGCACAAGGTGTAAATCTGAGGAGCACTTTTTTAAGGTTTAAAAAAATGGATGTAATAAATAAGATCGTAAAAGGTTTTATGAGAAAAAATGTTGAATGTCAAGTTGAAAAACAAAGAACATATTTATGTATGTACAGTTTGCTAAGCCAAGTTTTGTTTGTATTGATTTCTTTGCATTTATTATAGATACCATAAAATATTTTGTCTATGTGCTTTTTAATGACAATTATGGGAACCTCAAAGTTTAGAATGAGATACGTGTGGTATAAAAAGATTTGAAGATGTACATATGCTGCACTACTAAAAAGAATTTAAAAATACTGTAGCAAATTAACAATATGGAGTATATGTTTGAATGAGAAGATCTGGAAAACTTGACAAGTGATAAAATACATGGGAAAGTATCATATTAGAAGTTGTGCTAATATTGAAAGCTGCCTGTGTTTTGAATTGATTGGTCATTTCAAGGTTTTTTTCTCAAGCTGCTTCTTGAAGTTTATTCTCAACCATGTTTTCTTTCTGTGCATACGTATGTTTACATATGCAGTCATGTGCAACCTTTGGCAACTGAAGTTGTACCAGTCCACACTGAAATAGATTTTTTTCCTGTGGATGTACTGGAAACTTCTTGATACTCTCCATAGCAGCTGAATACCAAGACAGATGCTTATGCTTTACCAATAGTCTAGTGGAATACGCCCAAAACATAAGCATAAATAGCAGAAAATCAGAAAAAAAAAAAAAAGAAAACTCACACATTTTCCAGAAATATTGCAGAAAACTTGCAGTCTGAGCAGTGGCAGAGATGTTTCCCAGTTTATCAGTCAAAACTTGACCAAAACAGGATCCTTTTTGGCTTTGAAAAAATACATTGCATGGGTCTGAGTTACTGCTCTTTAATAAGTCTGGGTTTTTTAAGCCATGACACACAATGTGAATTTTTCCTGTGAGTTAAATGTTTTTACCTAGAATATATTGGCCTACATAACAGAAATAAAAAAAGCCAGAAGAAAATACAAGCACTTGCTGTTATGTAGGATTACTTTTCTGGGATATCATCATCGGAGCTGGTATGAGGAGAGGTTGGCCAGAGGTAGAGCACCATAAACTCAACTCCAGCATTTTGAGGAAGTAAAATAAAGCTTCCTTTCTAGTTAAGTGTAAGGTTAACCTTTTCACAGAAAGCATTTCATATGTCAGCAATATATATTCAATGTCTGAGACCTAGAGTGGGACTGACACAAGTATGTATTCTTTTCAAGACTTAGTTTCCTTTGTTGATATTCAGAAATTATGCTAGGCTAGATGAGTATCCGTAATCACTGATTCTGAGTAGACAGAGATAATGAACATACTTTTGGAGCACAAGGATGAGGTGTTACTTGCAACTGACAGATTCCATAAAATTGACCCCTCCTCTCTTTTCTGATACTGTTCTCTTTGGTGATATAATTTAGTCCATGCTAATCAGTGCACCTATGTGAATAATCTGGTAGTTTGCTCAGGCCTGTTAGTCCAGAACTCTGCATGCTTTAGACATCCTTTCATCACCCAGTCCCATGGGTTTGGTGGTTAATGTTTTGTTGAAAGGTTTTTTTGTCTTTTAAAAGAAAACATGTAAGAGCAAAAAGACTAATTTAGTGAGAAGTAAGTCTCACTTTGTCTCCTATTTTCCAGCCAGCTATTGATGAGCTCATGGAAATAGATGTTATCTAAAGAGTAGTATATAGCTTGTGGCTGCAAGGCATGAGGAAAGGCAGTACAGAAGCTGCAGAACTCTGGGTCCGTGTTGAAGGCATGTGTTCAAGGGAAAGTAGACTCTACATCTTGGAGAACTCTAGTCATTACTGCATTATATTTTTCCCCATTTTTTACTGTAGATAGAAGTAGTAGCTGCTGTAGGAGTGTAATCATCTGCACAGCTTGATGCCTCTTGTAACTCTGAACTCTGCTTGCTGGTCTATAGTCACCTCATAACTAGAGGGTGTTTAAAGGCATAAAGGGAAACGAGTTGCTCAGTGACTCCAGACTGTGCAGTGATATCAAGGCACTATCTCATTATGCTTATAATGATAACAGTACAAAATAGCAAGCAGCATTTGCCCTGAACTTACTGCATCTGTTTATGGAGTGGTCTCATGGATCATGCTTCACAAAATCTGAAGGCATACTGAAAAATAATACTTAGAGACGTCTGACAGTGTTAGGAGTACAAATGATCTGAAGTTGACCGAAAAAACATGCCCTTGTTCCTCACAGCAGTGAGCACGATGATTGCCTGTCCCCACCCTGTTCTAGCAATGGTAACAGCACTATTCCACAACAGATAGATAGTTTCCCACCACTGGTTTGCCACCCTTCCAAGCTCCACTGCAAATGCTCTAAACACCTGCAGTCTTGCTTTCTTCTTCCTTAGAACTTTCTCCTACAGCTGTTTATTGAACGAGGACAAAGCTGCTGGGATTGGCTTTATGAGCAGTGATCTCTGGCCCTCAGAGTCCTGTTCTATTTGTGGTTGGGAAATCTGTTTGCAACTGATAGCATCTCTCAACATCATCATCATCATCATGTGCATCTGAGTGCATCTGTGTGCATGTTCAAAGGCATAACAGAAACTGGTTGCTCACAGTCTTCAAGCTACAGATGCTATCAGAATTTAGCAAATGCAGGAGGATTCTGGGAAAGAAGAGCGGAGTCAAGGAGAAGAAATGCAGATTTTAAAGCAAGAGAGCATTGGTCTTCTCACTTGCGCTTCCTGTATTTTATTTGGTATTCAAAGCAGTGGACTGCAGAAAGGAAAAGAGTAGGAAATGTCACGGTGAGGTTTGTGTTTAAGCTGGGTGGTCTGGCTGTAACATTCTTCAGCTCTTGCAGCAGCGAATTGCAGGATTCATCTGAACCAGTGTTTGCCTAAGCTGGTGGGAGAGAGAGTTGGAGGAAGGAGGTCATTTGTCTTTTGACTTTGGGGGAAGAATGTATGTCTTATATTCACAGTTTCCTGCACGAGGGAACTCTCATTTAGATACTGGCTGGCTGGTTTTAACCATGACAACAATGTTGTGAAAGGCACTAGAGCCACCCAAATTGTGTTGTTGTGCTAGTCCAATTAGACCAAGAGGGACATAGATGTGAAGCGTGTATTTGGAAGAAGTTATGCTTGTTTTAATAATATTAAGAACATTGGAATATTCTATCAATATTCCACAATGAAGAAATAAATAGGAATTATTTGAAGAAGTAATTAGTCTCCCCCAAAAGCAGTAGATAAAAATCCGTGAAAACACATAAAAGAAATTAATAATGGCCTACTTAAGCAGTAAATTCTTGTCATAGACTAAGGCCTGGTTAAGTGATTGATAGAAATCTAAAAACAGACAGGAATTGAAAGCTGTGGCTTCTGTTGTTTGATGTCGCTTCATATATCATTCAAAAAATGAACTGGTCAAAACTGACAGGTTCAGTAAAAACCTGTTTAAAGATCTGAGATGTAGCAAATGGATTTGACCACAATGAGGTCTGAATAAAACAATGGCGCATATAATTTTTGGAAAACTGAGAAATCTTTAGAAAGAGGTGGCTTTAGGGGAGGAAAGATGAACCACTGAGCTCTTCTGTGTCAGGAATGATGCAGATGTGGATGCAATTTGCACAAAGGTTACTCAGGTCAGGCTCTTTGCGTTTTCATACACGTAATTCCTAGGAGATTGCTATTATGAATGTTGTAATTGTGGTGTGGGGTTTTTTTATTGCATTGTTTATAGAAAGGATGCTTTAAAAAACAGCTGGGAGGAAAACTAACAGAGTCCACTTTTTTATGTAAATGTTCACAAGCCTGTCCAAGAAGTGAGACACTCATGTCTCTAGTATTCTCTGTATAAATAATTCAAACATTGTGTGAGATGCTCTCTTGACTGTTAAAACATACGGTTGCAATTTTGACTCCTTTGCTAAACTTGAAGCATTGTGCAAACAGCAAAGAGGTGTACAGTTCATGAGGACAAAGCGGCAGGGGGGAAGTACTGGAAGAAAGCATGTAAGCATGTAGTATTTGGGGATAGATAGATAGATAGATAGAGAGAGAGAGAGAGAGAGAGAGAGAGAGAGAAATAGATCGAAGATATTTTGGAGCCTCTTTTCTTATTTTTTAGATTTAACATAAGCAAAAAGTAATCCTGCAAGTGCAGACTGGAACTCAAACTTTTCTGCTTTCATATGAATCCCAAGACTTTTAAGCTTTTATGAATGCCAAGACTTTTAAGCTTTTATGTGCCTTACTGTGACTCTCACTGAAAAGTGGGTAGCACTTTTTGCTTACCTCTGTGTTTGAACAAACTTACTTCACCTTTCCATGGATGACACAGGTTCTCAAGAGGTGAGTGGAAAACAAAAGATATCTGACAAGAAGCAAATCTTTCTGACCTAGAAAGGAGCACTCATTCTTTGTGTGTAGAAGAGCTAAATGTCTTTCAGTCCCAAGCATGAGTTGCAAAATCTGGCTTAAAAAAATCCTGGAAGTACAATCTTTCCTCCGTGCACATTTTTCATCTTTACAATGGTAACGTACTGGAGTAGAGTACAAATGTGTAGGAAGGGAAGACAACAGGAGATCAATTTTATATCAGCTGTCTGCCTGCAGAAATGAAGACATTATCAGAGTGACACCTAAATCCTGCAAAACACCGACCTTTCAGGGAGCTAGTTAGCCTTGCTCCAGCTAAGTGCCAAGTGTTATTATTTTGATGGTCAATTTTCCTGAAGATTTTGTGAACATTTTTATACTTGAGTCTCTGTGTCTGCAGGATGCCTTAGTGAGTGGGTAGTAACAGGAGCCTGGCTGGGCATAAGAAAAGCCATGTATGCAGCACCCTTCCATGGGCATTCTTTCTCTGTGAGCATGAGTGTTATTTTGCATGTTTGAATTTTCCTCTCCTCTTCACT